TGACAACATTCGGGCGATGTCAAATTTCCTGCAACCGATCACGAATTTTCAAGAAAATTTGAGGATATTTCTCCTCCGATTTTTCAGACGATTTCCTTCGTAATTTGATCTAAGAGTTCTGAAAATTCCAAGAAAAAATATTCACAGCTCTCTGCGAAAATAAATATTCGCAAAGAATAAATTGGGCAACATTCGAATGCTTCTACGGCGCTTGTGCTTAGTACGGCAGTGTTCTTGAATCAAAGAGATGGAATTGCAAGTTAGTTTGAGCAGACTTGTAGAAAATTCTTGCATGGACGAAGGGCCCAGCCAGAAAAGGCCCTCAAAATGCGGAGAGAGGGGAAATTTTTCAGGATCATAAGTCGCTATTCAAAGGAGAACGGAAGAAAAAGGTCATCACTTCTGAAATTGGTGGGTGGAAATTCGACGGCCGACGCACAGTGGAGCGAGTCGATGGAAAAGGTCGGGCGTGATGTAAAATTTTCAAAATCCTATATATTCGTTAATATGAAACATGAACACTCCAAAGTGGTTCCATTGGGTTTCTTGTCAACATTCCGTGGATAACCACCCCGTAAACTTTACTTAAAATATGACGGATTAAACATCAAGATTTACAGGTAGGTATAGTCAAAATTTTCTTGTCCGACTTCTCCAAATGAATCGCTCCACTGTACGACGGGTAAACGGTTGAAAATTTAGAAGCTAGAGGATTCTGCACGCCTGGTTTGGAGTTTTCCTATTCTACAAGGCTAGATGTGAAAAAAAAGAAGAAAAAAGACGAGAGTCATTCTGACTTTAAAAATTCCTTGACTGAGTCAAGCTTTAAACAAAAATTTCCCGACATTCCCTGACTTAAACAGTTGTTGGGCAAAAAAAAAAAATTACTTCAGGAGATAAAAAAAAAAAACGACACTGCAGACTTATCGTCGTTCTTAGCACGAAGGAACGTAACTTCATACCAAAATTGCAAAATTGACCTCAACGACTTTTTACAAAACGTACCAGTGCCATTTTTTGTCCATGTTTTGTCTGATTTTTGAATGAGATCAGAGTAAAAATCAGTGAAGTTTCCAGTCAAAAATGCCTACGATTCTCCTGGTAAAAATACTAATTGCGAGGGGTCATTTGACAGCATCGAAATCTAGTTACGTTCTTTCGTGAAATGGACAACGATATTATTGGCCACTGGTAGGTAACGTTGCTTGACAAGGATCGACAGAACACCTGAAGGTAAAGTGGTTAGAATCTAAATTCTTAGCGAAAAGTATTATCAAGAGCATCATTAAGAAGGAGAAGTTTCATAGAGCTCGCGAATTTGACGTTCCACTTCGTTAAAAGTGATATGAGACATGCCTCGAAGTATTCTGCCGCGCTAAGGAAAAACGCCGTATGAACCTCCAGGCGTTGCCAAATTTCCCTTGATGTAAGACAAGAATTCCCTGGTAAACTTCTGAAGATTTTTCTTTCAATTTTTCAGAGAATTTTGCTCGTATATTGTTCGAAAGTTCCAGAAAATTTCAAGGAAAAATATTCATAACATTCCATAAAAGTAAACATTTTATCGAAGGGAATTCGGCAACTCTCGAATGTTCATTCGGCGTTCTTCCTTAACACGGCAGCATTAATCAGTTACAATGCTCTTTTAGCAGTTCCTTCGAGGACCCAAAATTCATAGCAACAGCATTTATAAGCTATATCGGGACCCTCCATCACGCAGTCCCACGCCTAGCTTGTCTTTCTTACTACCGAGACCTGTCCACAGATTTAAGGCACGTACAACTTAGAATGATGAGGGGCACGCAGAACTCAAAGCGAATGTTGCATCCGCGGTTGAGCATGATACAGAATTCCAAATTCGCGGATAAGTAATTCGCAAAAGCCGGATGCAAATGCATCGCTAAGTATTCGCGGAAAAGTCAATTCAAGAGTGAGGTTTGTGAATGTCTGGATGTTCGCGAATATTTTAACGGAGTTATTCGCGAGTGCCAAAGGTTCGCGGATACAAGGGTCTTTCCATACGTCCTGTACGTCATCCTTGGTTCATTTGCGCGAATATTCCTTTGCCCTGCATCGCGGTTGATCGAGTTACCTACTCTGCCGTGCTAAGGAAAAACGCCGTATGAACCTTCAGGCGTTGCCAAATTTCCTTTGATAAAACACGAATTTCCTGGTAAATTAATGAATATTTTCTTCCCAATTTCTAAGATAATTTTGTATGCAAATTCACCTGATGGTTCTGAAAATTTAAAGGAAAAATATTCACAACTTTGCTCAAAAATAAGCATTTTATCGAAGTAAATTTGGCAACTCTAGAATGTTCATACGGCGTTCTTCCTTAGCACGGCAGTACTAAGGAGAGTATAACGATGAGCGTGCCGCGAAATATCGGTCGCGGAGTTCCAAAGTCGCGAGAGACGAATCCGCGGATAAGTTCCAAGATTTTTCTGACTCTTTTATTGGTCCTTACTTACGACTCTCCCAAATTTTTTTTTGGACAACAGCATGTAAGGCCACTGCTTAAGTAGTTGCCTATAACAAGGAGAGCACTAAAAAGTATCAACCTTGGGGAAATAAATCTCGATTACTGAACCCAATTAAATTATGTGTTCAACGTTGATTTTCTAGACAATTAACGTTGCATACGGACAGAAACTGCTTCTCAGAGGAGCTGGGTCTGCCGATTCAGGATAAATAGGTGATTTCTTCACGACATTAGCAGATCCAAGAGAGAGGGGGAGGGGGCATAAGTCTCCCCCCCCCCCTTCATTTGCCCGGAAAAAGGAGGGAGAATAGGGAAGAGAGAAAGAAGGAAGATTATATTTTATTTATGACAAAATTTACTCAAACTGCATATTGAATGCTTTAAAATTCAAAAATTTTTCAGGGGAAGCCCCCCTTGACCCCTCTTTCTCCCCCTCGTTCAAGGTGTCTGAACCTCCCTGTGCTTCACAGTCAAATTGAAGCTAAGTAAGCGTCTTCATTCTCTCTTGGTACGACATGAAATCTCCGTGAAAAATACAACCCTCAAAAGTGAACAGCAGATCATTTTGTGGAGCCTCTCTTTGAGACTTTCAAAGAAAATTAAAAATTGACATATTGAGAGATGCCTCATAGCCTGGAAGCCTAAACGCATGTTTCAAGATTAAAAGTTGATTTCTGACATTCTCTCACTCAGTGGGATTTCTACTTTGAGATCATCATCATCTATTTCAGGTTTCAACATCTCAAGGATTCAAAAAATGTCATGTGAAATGTACACAGATGACACTCCGAGATTAGCGAAAAAAGGGGGCACACTTTGTGGATACATTGAAAATCTCAAGATTCCTTGTCAAAGAAATAATTTATCTATCGCTCGCATGCAATCATCCTCAATTTCCTGAGAGTGATTACTGTCAATTGAACAGTGTTCTCCTCATGAACTTATTTCAGTGCCTAAAGGGTAGTTTCAGATTCAATCAATGAGCTTAAGGTGATTAGTCAAGGTTTTTGACGACGGTCAAACTGGCATGCGATATATTGCACACCATTCCAATCACGCCAGAAACCGTGAAGAATCACTGAATGTGGCATGGAATATTTTGACTCCTCTACTTAATGTTCAAAAAAACAAGAAACGGTGCGGATTGTGAGTGCGCTTTGTCAGCTTCGAATAGGAGTGGATTATCAGTCACACGTGCAGCGCAACAAAAAAGAATTGGTCAATATCTTCAGCATTGCGGTGATCGGCACGGGAAAAGCCAGTATGAAAAAATAGAAGATGTAACTTACTATTGAAGAAGATAAATTTCCTTGTTGATCCTAGTCTCTTGATGGGTGATTTAATGTTCGAAGCGGGTGAGTTGCAGTCATCCTCATCCATTGCGACGGATGCAGCGAAGTGTCACAAACTATCTTAAAGATACCTTTCACAGGAATGACATCAACACATGCACAATTGCAAAGACACACACGGGATTATCGCGTTGCGAAGGAATTCATTGCGGGATAAATTTTAATGGATGTAAAATGTTAGCAACGAGAAGAGAAGCACCGCACGAAACTGAGAGGGGGTGCATTGGAAAACATCGAACCACAGCACATTAATTCTTCACTTTGATGAGTCAACAAGACGGTGAACTGATTGCTTAAGCGAGGAAAAGAGTCGCGATGGAAAGTAATACTTTAAACACCGAGATAAACAGATAAAAGAAGATAAAAATAGAGTAAATAAAGACGACAGGAGAGAAACGAAACGACCACTTTGCGGCCAAACAGAAAAACCAAGAAAAACAGTAAACTGATGACACCCCGAAGATGCAACACTAACCGGCAGGTGTGTCATCGTTTCGTAAAGCGGCGGGAAATTCAAATTCAGTTTCTAACGCAGACATGACTCTGGGGGGGAAGAAGGGGTAATCATTCATCTTTTCCTCCCGAAATAAAGCAACCTCAGTTCCTAGATTTTTGCAACAACAGAAAATTGGACTTAAAGCTGATTTTAGTAGAATTGGTATCTGGCAGGGTTCTTCATGTATCAACTGCAAAAAGCAATTTTAATTGGATTCAATAGTCAAGAGTGATGGAGGAATAGAAAATTCAATAGGAACTCCAGCCAAAATTTTCCTTTGTAGAATTCTTGCAGCCATTGTAGGGTATCAGATTACAGTTCATTGTTCTTTCATGATGAAGCAATTGCAGGAGAGGTCAGTAAAATTTTTACGTTTTATGTTTACGCAGTCTGCAACAATAATTGTCACTGATTTCAATCTCGAAATAATCACAATTTTAAAAGCTGATGTGGCAAAAAAATGGTACTGCAGGTTGATAAATTTCGAAGGAAAATAGGTAATGATCACCTCCTGTACTGATCTGAAATTCATAATAGGATTGGATGAAAATTTGGTTCATGATCCTTCATTCATTCAAGGAACTGTCGAATCCTTGAGGAGATTAGGTGCACTTCACCTCCATTCACGAAAATGAATACGCAGGTAATGAGAAATTAAAACTAGCAATTTAAGATTACTTAAAACAATAATATGTATATTTTCTGGACTTAAAGAATATATAGCGTTTTTACTTGATATCACAATGTCAATGACAGAATAAGTTGGTACTCAAAATTTATGATAAAGGTGCTGAGAGAAGGAATTTCCAGATGAACAAAAAAACGCTCGACCCAAAATTGGCCACACTGTAATATGAGATCAGAACAACAAATAGAATTACGATCACTGAGTGCTTAGATGTTGTCAAGATGCTGAATTTAAACACTCGCGTTAAGAGAGATTCTAAAGCTGACATGATTGATGTTGAATTTCAGGCATCTGGTCAATTATTTCAGAAAAAACAAATGACAATCTCTAAGTACAGGGCTTTGATAATGAGTGACTAGACAAGGTCTGGACTAAAGAAAAACGTCACAAGTTTTCTCTTTAAAATCTTAAGTAGAATACGATTCACATAACTGGAAGTTCTGGAACCAACATTTAAGCAAGATATAAGCAAGTGTTTTTAACACAGATCAAATGGCAGTTAGATTATACAAGTAACGTCATTTGTATTAATGCCATTTAGTTAGTGTTAATTGTAAACACCTATATCTTGATAACAAATTAATTTCTAGACCTTCCGATTTGTGATTCGTTTGCCTCGTGAAACTTTGAAAAGAAAACACATTACGAAGTGCTTTAACTCAAACCCTGTCTAGTGACCCATCGTTGTATTTATAAAGACGTTTTCCCATTTTGAGTACATATTTTCTTTCTTCTTAGAACACATTTCCATTTTTTACAGGATCAGACATACCTATGAAAAGAAAATTGGTTTGGTAATAATGAAATCATACATCTAGAACATAAAAAGAGCACTAGACTTAAACTGTATTCAAGGATGCGAGGCAAGTAGTTGATTTAAATTTCTATTCCACATTGAAAGTTGTCTCATACTTCTGACAAGTGACACTCATTTTGCAGTACTGATTCCCCTACCAAATCACATCCTCAACAGTTGAACTAGATTTCAAGCTTACATTTTAAACAAAAACAAAAAGGAAGAAAAAAGAATTAAAAAGAAATTGAAATTGAAGAAGGCTACAAGTATTAAAATCGGCTGATCTTTCACAGACTTTTGATTTAATACTTTCAGATTATTTTTCAAAACAAAGGCGTTCTTACAAAAACAGTAATCCACTTTATCTTATTACCGATATTAAATTTTTCAGAAAATTTAATTTCAAACAAACAAAATAGAATGCATTTTTCAATGTCTCATCTTAAGATTTTTATTTATCAGCAAAATAGGAAGACATATTCGCCAAAATCATCCGCAAAATTAATTTGATACAAGAAAAATTGATTGAATATTCGACTAAATAAATGCTCACTATTAAAAAGTTAACTGCAACAGAAATGAGTAAAGCGTTGCAAAAGTATCGGGCACATTTTGTAGCAGTAGACTTGGAGTTTGGTCTTTGTTCCTGAGAAAATTCACAAAAACTTAAAATATCAACAAATAAAAACAATGCTGCCAGATATAACACAATGGTGTTTCTATGTATTTATAAAGTTTATGGCTGAGGTAGGCAATATACTTAAGCATTGTTAGAGGGCAGAGATTTCCTCTAATGATGCAATATTTTAGGCAAAAAATACAGTACTGCTGCCTGAAAATTACAAGAAAAGTAATGAAAATTTATCTTTCAAACATGATATTCAAATCAATGTCGAATTTTAGTACATTTGATTTCCTTGTCGGAATCCATTTCCAGTGTACCAAGAGGAGGTGGGGAAGATAGATAATCATTAGCGGATAAATAAGTCTTAATATTAGCCTACTTTCAGCCTCATCTCATAAAACTTTCATGTACCTACAAAACAATGCAAGCAAGCCAAAAGCTCAGAAATCAACATGACAAATGATGGTATGTGATGCAGCTATCAACTTCTGACTTCAAATAACACTTTTAAATCTACTATCTTGATCAACATATTAGGTACAGATGTATTTTCGTAAAAAGATCATGGCGTTGAATGATCCTATTCAGACCTTGTATTTGGATTCTTCAATCAGAAATCTGGGTAACATGTATTTCAGATTATTGAGGCAGGATTGACGATAAAATATTTGAGAATCTAAACGAGGAAGACTGATGACAAAGAAATTGAATGTTTGACTTGAGAATTAAGTCATGATTTAATTTTCAAGTCAAAACACTCGTTTCCTTCCAAATCTAGACTGTCTGGCGAATCCTCAGGATCTACAGCCTCTCCATCGAAGAAGAGTTTGAACTCTCCCTGCTTCAAATTTAGTTCTTCGCCCACTTTCACGATGAGAATCATCATTTTATCCGTTTTCTTTATTTTAATGATGAGAGGCTCTCGAATGTCTTTCCGGATTATTTTTATTGGAATTGAGTCAGCAGATTCCTCATGGAAGACAGGAGCTGGATTGGAGCCATTAGTGACGGGAACATCTGAGGTCTCTTCGTTTAGTATGCCTCCATCTGAAATCAAACACAGGCATGGAAATTAATGAGCACGATAGCTAAGAGTCCGATAAATCATGCTATAACAAGGCCCATGCGGCTGCAAAAATGAAAAAATCATGTACTCTTTGATGGACAGGGTTCCCACAGAATTCGGAAAATTAAATCCCCTGTCACATTTCTGTAAAATTCCGTGACTATTTAAGATATGCGAGATGGTTAAAAATTTCTTTGAAATAGTTTCCACGCAAAATATGTTGTTTGAACCCTCCAACCCATCCTAGTGACTGAACAATTTTTCCCTGGCACTTTCCCTATTTTCTTTGACAATTCCCTGTTTTCCGGTAATCCCTGACTATGGTAACCTTGCTCAGTCATTTGGTGTATCTTTACATGAAAAATGAAATGAGGTGCGTCGATATCAAACTGACATATAAGTATCTTGTGAGGGTACATTTTAAGGTTTTTTCATCAGAGGAGTCTTGCATTTCTATTACTAGAAAATCTTGGGGAAAAAAATGCGCGTTTCTTCAACTTCTGACAGGATCTCTCCTCTGTTACTTAAACATTCATTAACTGGAAAACTCCAAGCCAGAGGAAAATAAAAGAAGACTTGAACCGTGGACACTTTAAAAATTTCAGAACTTCACATGGGTATGACTTTGTAATAAAATGCAAAGATGTAGAAAGTTCTTGGCCTTCCAATTTTAAAGACATTGCCCTTCTCAAAAATGTTGGACTGATGACATTTTCCCTGCTTCATGCACCTACAAATTGCTACAGTTAAACAAAAAAAAAACCACATACAATTTTCATCTCAATTTGTCGAAAATACAAATTTTATACACTGATACGCATGATCCTCCCATACTTAAAACTCATTATCGGAGCCTCCTAATTGTCACCTGCAACCAACCACTTTACCCAGCAGTTACGTGGTTGGGAAGTTCTTGCACTCCTACAAAAAATGTACCAATTATAAGTAATAACATGTTTGATGTTTGAACGATTGGGAGTCCATTCACACTTCAAATTACGTTTGAGAACAAGTTGCGATTAAATCTGTTAAACTCTGCTTTGATGTTGAAAACACTAAATACTAACTTTGTTTTCCTTACCTAGAATATCAGAGATTTTTAGATTCAAGCTATCTGGAGTATCATCTGGTTTCAAAATTTTTTGATCAAGACACAACTGTATTCTAGATTCTGGTACATTTTCCTCCTTGGCAAAATGTTCAAAAATGACAGCAATTTTCTGGAACTGAAAAAGGAAATAATTAAATAGATGAGTAAAATTGAAGCATACATCAATGGCCAAAGCATCAAACGACGTTACCTTTGTTTACGACGTTGCAGACATCCTATCATACCTTATTTTTTCTTTGGAAAGCTAATAAACATAATTTTTTTAAAACTTCCTTGATTTTTCTTCTCTGTTCCCAGATTATTTTGTACGCATTTCAAACTGTTAAGTTGGCTTTTTCTCTCCTCAAAAAAAAAAAAAAAAAAAAAAATAGTGGCTGTAATTTTGAAACACCACAATTGAGATACATACTTTTCCACCTTGACCATTGGTATGAGGGATTAAAAGGGCACAACGGGTCACTTTATCAAACTTTCAGAGAGTACTGAGGAACTGTAATTCATTTTTTTTTGTATAAATTTTTTGAGCTATAATTTGAATTATAGCTTGGGACCAGTATGATAAAAACTGGATATTTCAAAAGTCAAAGTCTATATTATTATGCGGACTTTCTGGAAGAAAAAATGGATTTGATCCCTTTCCCTCCCAACGTTCATTCTTCATTAAAAATCCTACTAGAATTTGCGCTCTTTTAATTCTAACACTTTAATGGCATGTTGCGTGTACACAACCCTCCAAGTTCTTTTCCTTGTGGAGACAAAGTTTTTTGTCTGTATCTTTCCCTCTTATAGATTCTGTCTATCGTTTTGTAGTTCCTAAGTTCCGAAAAGTTTGAATCAGTCACTTCATCTTTCTTTATGCTTTTGCAATATTACTGAATTTTATCCATACATTTAAATGGTTAAAGAATTTAGACCTTGGAGGAATTCTTCAAAAATTGAAGTTTTTTTCTTCTTTTTTTTTAAATTTAAGTCCACAGATTTTAACTGAAACAAATTTGATGAAAATATGTCGATTCTGTATCAGATTTTCCAAGTTTATGATTAAATCTTATGACTCTGACAAGCAACAACCATACTTCTTTTAGCTATTTTTTATAATGAAGAAAAGAAGCTGTTTGTCTCACCTTTCTGACAGGTACTTTATCTAATTTCTTGAACCTCCAATAAACTTTTACTTCAATGCTAGGATTTGCATCTTCTTGAGTGTCTTTTTCATGAGACAGATTCTACAGAAAACAGGAGGTAAAACGATTAAGATCATGACATTTTGATATACAAATTTCAATTATTTCTTTCAGTGCCCTTGATGGACTTTTAATAAGAGAAAGTAATGATTCTTTCAATTTGGCAACTCTTAAATCATGTTAATTTTAAATGAGGCTGACTGCCAAAAATCAATTGTTTTACATTGATATGAAACTGATGAAAACCCAGTCCCGTTTTTACAATGATTGGTAATGCGTGGCATATCAATAACAATCAGCAGCTAGGACCAATATCGATGAACAAAGTGCAAAACCATATACCTCCATTCGCAATATTACTGACTTCCTGTCACTCTTTATTTTTCCTTCTACTAAACTACAAGACGTAATTTCTTGAAAACTTCCTTGATTTTTTTTCTCTATTAACAGAATAATCTGTATAAATTTCAAGCTATAATGTTTACTTGTTCCTCTTCAAAAAAATATAATAAAAACAAATTTTTTTACATACTGCAATGGAGATACGTAGTTTTGCATGTAAGCCATCGATATGTAAAGTATATTCTGTGAAAACTTTAAGCTATGGTGTTGGTTTGGTCTTCTCTTTAAAAATTAAGAAGGAGCAAATATTTTTAAGCACCGCAAACGATTGATTGATTATTTGATGCTTTGCCTTTGAATATTAGGAGACACTTACAAGGGGAGGCTACCGATTGTCCACCTCAGATCGGGTTCAAATTTGGCAGAGAGGTAGAATAGGTTAATATAAGAACCCGTATTTTTTTTTAGGTGCCAATGCCCAGCCGTTTTTGAGTTATGAATTTTTGAAGTTGCCGTTTTTTCGTGTCAGCGACGCGCTCAAGTTGAGCCTACTGTGCGCGCACCTTTTAATGCGATCCGAATGTCATAACGATCGTGTGAGTCAGTTGTCCAAGCGGTAGCGCGCTTGCCTATGGTGCTTCAGGTTCGGAGTTCGATACTTGTTCCGCTAGTTTAATTTTTAAAATTGATTATTTTGTTTTTTAATCGCTTCATCACAAGAAATAGTAAGTCACCTTGTAGACGTTATGATTCTAATTATTTTTTATGTATATTTTATTTTTATTTTTTTTAATGAGTGTCTGACAAAAAAGGGAAAAAACATAATTAGCATCACAACGTCTACAAGGTGACTTACAATTTCTTGTGATGAAGCGATTAAAAGACAAAATAATCAATTTTAAAAATTAAACTCGCGGAACAAGTATCGAACTCCGAACCTGAAGCACCATAGGCAAGCGCGCTACCGCTTGGACAACTGACTCACACGATCGTTATAATATTCGGATCGCATTAAAAGGTGCGCGCACAGTAGGCTCAACTTGAGCGCGTCGCTGACACGAAAAAACGGCAACTTCAAAAATTCATAACTCAAAAACGGCTGGGCATTGGCACCTAAAAAAAAATACGGGTTCTTATATTAACCTATTCTACCTCTCTGCCAAATTTGAACCCGATCTGAGGTGGACAATCGGTAGCCTCCCCTTGTTAGAACGGGTGTAATAGCAGGGATATTTACGATGCTTTCGGACTTCTTTATCATAAAGACTTTCTATCGTATGAATGAATTTTTGAATGAAAATTACCATCAACCTTCTTAAAAGTAATATTAGTTAATTTCACTGTCAACTATTATACCACCTTGCCATAATTACAGATTACTCATTGTTGTTCTTTCTTTCTTTTTCTTTTTATCTATTTATTTATGTAATCTTCCAACATACGGAATTATATACATTGTTTCTAATATAAATTAACAAGAAGAGGCAAACAATCGGGTAGTTTGACAGGTTCTCAACTTAATAACCGTACATTGAAAATGTACTAGTTGTACATTAAAAATATACTAGCTGGTTGTTCTTCTACTGTCAAATAAAGAAAGAAAAAATTATGAGATATGTCTAAACCTAACTACGAAAGGATTTCTGTGCAAATCGACCAATTAAAAATTAAATTAAAAACAAGTTACATATTTTTGCAGTTTCACTTCCGAAATGTATTGTTTCCTGATAAAAAATGGACGATGTCTAATTCTTTAAGAGTACCTAATTACACCAGTTCAAATCCTGGCACAGACAAAAAATGATAAATTACTTGGTATTAAGTTACGTAAAACACACGACAACAAGATGTTACTTATATGAGAATAAATTTTATATCAGAGTCAAAGCTTTTCGATCTTTGTAATAATTTTCAAGGCTAAGGAAGTGGCACTTCATCAAGCAAAAGAAACTACAGAACAAAATGAAGAATAGAAGGCATAGAGGAATGCGAAAAAATCTAAAGGCACTGTTAAAAGTAGAACAAGTTATCTCTACCAATTGGACTACATTTTGCAATTAGGAACTGTAAATTCTGGCCCAGTTTAAAAACTACGTATGTGCCTTTAGTCTTCCTATGCACGTAAGTGTTTTTTCAGATGAACCAGAATTTATAGGTCCAAATTGCAAAATGCAGTCCAATTGATACCACCTGTTATCACTTATCAATTGATTGCTAGATTTTCACTTAGATTTTTTTGCACTCTGCTATGCCTTTTATTTTTCATTTCGCTCGGTAGTTTCTTATTGCTTGATGTAGTGCCACTTCCTTCGCCTTGATAACAATCACAAAGATTGAAAAGCTTCGGCTCTAATAAAAATGTATTCTCATATAACACCTTGGCGTTGTGTGTTTTACATAACATCATACTTATTCATTATTGGTGTTACAGTGATATTCATCACAATGTTAAAAAAAAAAAGATCAAGGATTCAAGATGATAAAGGAAGCTGAGGGCTCCTGGAAAAATCTTCAGCTGTACTTACCAAACTATCGTCATTATCTTCAAGTAAACTAAAATCATACTCAATAATTTTCTTTTTCTTATTTGGGGATTGCTTCGTTTTAGTTTTTTTTGTTTTCTTCCTTCCTCGAGAGGGAAGGACTCGTCCTCCACTCCTTGGACGAAGTCGGCTGAGCCGAGTGTTCAAATCCACCTCATCAACCTCATCTTCATCATCTTCATCATCCTCAATGAAAATCGGGGAATCTTCTACAACTGATGTGGATAGATTGGCGGCGGAATCATCTATGTTGGACTCTATCCTGTTGGTACTTTCTAGATTTGGCTCGGATGAGTTAGTGTCATCAGTATCCAGATTAATTGACTCATTCAGGTCTCTAAAAAGTAAATAACGATTAATCAGAATAATTTGACTTGGGCAGCTCCACAGAAAGAAAGCATAAATCAAAGACCTTTGAAAAATCAGAGAAAAAAATTAAACTATTTTTAGGGAAAATTGGACTGCTAGAGACAAGACTGTTACGACTTGACAAGATCAATTTTTGCGGCAAAAAATGTCCAAGAACTACGATTTCACTTCTTCTCTGAGGACTGTAACATATGGGATGAAACTTGATGCAGGGGTGCAGAATCTTCTAAGCTTCAGCGTTTTCACACGTCCGCCCGCCGGCTTTCCATATTTTGCTCATCAGTTTTCCACACAGTTTCCCACCAATTCAAAAGTGAGGACCTAGTCCCTCCTCTGTCTTTTAATTTTGGGCTTTTGACCCATAAAACTTATCCCTCTTTCTACATTTGTAAGGGCCTTTCCACATTTTCACATGCTCAGGCGGGCGCATGATTGAGCATTTTCTGAACCCCTGACTTGATGAAGAATACCATTATATTTTTAAATTTCTAAAGAATTTGGGCTCAGATGCTTGTTCATCGTCCCCAGATTATTATCAAGAGGTGTACTCACTCAGGTTCTTTGTTCTTCTTCTCAGGAGAAGGTATTTTCCTCTTTTTAGGGGTGGCTTCTAAGTGACTGCCTTTTTCTTTCAATTGGTTGACCATCGCTGAAAAAAAAAAAAAAGTTAAGGAACCAAATGCGTAATAGAAAGGGTATCTCTTGTGAGAAAGATTGGCATGAGTTAAAACGTGACAACATAATTTCGGCACTCAGTGCAGGGAGGGCACTTCCTATGTAATGCCCTTTTTGCGTAAATCAGGTCTATGCATCCCTCATGTTCTTCACTAACAAAATGCCATATTGACGGGCAAACTACCAGACCACAAATCTCGTCTGCAGTGTTTAAAAATCTCCGCTTCCATTTTTGAAGGAGAACAAATCTATGTTATTTTCTGAATTTTTCACCGAGTTTTCTTTGAACACGGAAGAAAAATCACGGAAGTTCTTGAGAATTGAAGTCGAGTAAGTTCCTGTTACTCAACTTCAATTCTCGAGAACTTCTGTAAAAAATAAAGTAATGCAGGATGTTGCAAACCGAGATTTGTTGTTTGGTAGAGGTGTCGTCAGCTAAGTTGATGGTTGTATACTTTCTGTTCGCAAGCGTTTTTGCATCACTACTATCCACACGAAAATATCTGACATTCACAGAAGCAAGAACGCAAGCTTAGATAAGTTTTTAAATACTTTCAAGTTTTATAACACTTTAATTTTTAGCCACACAGCGATCACAACCACATAAAAGTCGCAAATTATGACTGATAAGTAGTTTTCTTACGATACAATCATGAGACGGATGTATTCAAGGTAGATAGTTGCAAACATTGCTTTGTGCAGAGGCCCAAATTCGTCTTAGGTACTTGCAAACCGAAGGTAAACAACCGTCATCTTAGCTGACAACACCTTTACTTAGTTTCACTCTTAAAGTATGACTTCAATCAGATAGTGATTGAGTGCAAGATGAATCATTTTGGGAGAGTGGGCTACAATGTATGGAGTAGATAAATGCGTCGCGTAGGGCTTATCCAATTATAACACATTGGCAGTGTTCAGTGTAGACCACCAGACGTACCCTTTCGCAGTTAGTCGTTGATAAAGATAAAGATAAAATCAGCAGCTCATCACCTACCTTGCTTGCAGCTATTTTGATAGTCTTATTTGCTTTTTACATACTTCAAAAATTATCACCCCCCCTCTGATAAATATAATGGTATTAATGCCAATCAAAATATGCAAGACAGCTGCTCTTACAGACGATCGCCTCAGGGTGCATTCAGACAGCGTGCATTCGGACAGCGGATCAAGGGGCATGTCATGCTGCGTGACGCATTCACAGAAAAAACATGGCTGAACAAGCCCTCTACCTCTACCGAACTTTCCTCATGGAGAGGATAGCAAGGACCCTGGCAGAAGGCTCATCAAGCGGCTTGTCAAGTAGCATAACACCCCGCTCTGCCCTCGAGTGCGCCTTGACAAGGTATTATAAATTATCTGAGAAAAAAGCAGCTTTCAGTCCATCAGTCTCACTCTTCTATGAACGGTATTGTTAAATACTTACAGAAAAAATTGCCAGCGATGTCTTTATATCCCTCTAAATCAGAATCTGACTCTGAGTCACTGTCTACCGCTGGCGCAGACATACTTGATGAAACGGTCACAAAAAAGAAAAGTCGAAATATTTGAAGAAAACGTCTGAAAATTCAACACGTTTGAAAATACTTGTCACAGATAAACCATTAATTATTATTATTACTGATGGAATGGGGTAACTACTAATGAAAAACTTTAGATAAGTAGGTACGATGTTTGTTTACTTCAAGTTTCGCGGGTTCTTTATTTATTTGTTTGGAGGTTATTTTTTGACGTTTCCGGTTTGGTCCCTTCTCCGAACCGGAAACGGAAAACGTCATTGATACGTGGTTTGTTGAGAATGTTGACCTTCTTATCAATCATATCATAATATTATCATTGATACTGCCACGCCGCGATTGCTATTACACCGGTATTAGTACAAATAATATTGCTTCTGGATCTTCTGTAACTTCAGTGTGCCTTGCTTAGCTAAGTCGAGTGAGTATGGTATAATTTATTTCAACCGCATCTTTAACACGTCTCCGTATTCTTCCTCCAAAGTCACTAGCAGTCAGGCTTCTCCAGTTTAGCTGTACTTCGAATCTATTAAATTTTTTGATACTCTGTTGTCTACGTTCATTCTAATCTCAGAATTGTTCAATTTGAGGGAAGCTTTTAGCATATTTGCAAATATTTATGGCCCTCTAGACTGCATTCTTTAACTGACAATTATGTTCACTTCCTAACCGCCACTGCTTGATCACGTAGCTCAGGGGAATTGAAATTGAGACTTTTGTCATGGTTAGCATTTCCTTGTAGAGAAGGTACACTTCAATTTTGCACAGAGCAAATGGACGTATTTCTGTCATACGGAACTAAGCGCCATGGAAAAGCATTGTGAGAATAGGACGGAATGAGCCCAACGCCTGGTTCCGTCGCCAATCTAAGCCCCCCTCTGGCACTTAGTTCCATTTGATATAAATACTTCCAAATGTGAAATTGATTGAATTGCGTGTTGATGGCCTAAAAGTAACATCATGTATCTCCATTTGCGTTGTTTCAGACTTCGTGTTGTACTTATTTTTTCTTTTGAAAATTTGTAATGTAATGCCCAGGAAACTGCCTCTCTGTTGGCAGAAAATTCCGTTAAAATTATTTCAAGCTATACTTAATGTTAGCTTGTTTCTCTTCAAAAAAATTTAAAAGGAAGGAAAATTATGATAGACCGCAATGGAGTTTTGCGGTTTCAAAATTTGGCCATCAACTAAATGTGTTGATTAGGTTATGATCAAAGGCAAAAAACCGAAAAGAACTATAGTCCCTGTGCACAAACTTCAACAAATTACTGCTATGGAAGAATCACGGAATTTGAAGAGTAAGAAGGAATAAAAAAAGATTAGTTGAAGAAAGTGTGGCATGACAAAAACACTCAATGATGAAATTAGTGTTTTTATAATCTGCAACAAGTTCTACAGGTGAAAATACACTTATGTCTACATCATACCTGTTATTAATATTTATCTCAAGAGCAGAGAATACGATAGACAGTTGACAGGAGATGGAATTAGCATTTAATCCATTGTTTTGAAAGTGGATGACAAAAAAAAGAATTCTGTACATTTTTTCACTTTGTCAACGAAATTCAGTCTCAGGTGTTTGCTTTGAGGGGCAGGGAGGGAGGAGGATATTAAAAGTCTTTTGCCCATCATTAATGACTTCGGTTTGTTTCAGAATGATAACTGACGTACAGCTGGCTGTCTTTGCCAACGTTCTGGGAGTATCCTTGTTCCTGCTTGTAGTATTATATCACTACATCTCCGCCAACCACACCAAGAGTAGCTGAAATGCGCAGTTCTGCGGAAGAATCACCACCCAAAGCAGAACTAATCAGAAGCATGGATAAAGGTTGATTCCGATCTTCTGCAACAGCATGATCTCTGTCCAAAGCATTCTTCACTTTCTCTTCTTAAATTAACTACTTTCCTTTTTACTTAAACAGACTCTTTTAATGAGGGTAAACTTAATTTCGAATTCCTTCTTTTTACTGCATTTATCTACTTATGATCAGCATTATTGATTTCTGTACACACCCATCATTTCCAGGTGGCAGTTACTTACTCAAGTATTGAATAATGTAACTTTTGCTACTTTCTGTTAAATAATGAAATAGATATCCTATACAAATGAATGTAATTTTATTCAGTGAGTTTTTATTCATATTTTACTCCTACCTACTTAATGTTTAAAGAGTTCAGCAGATAGGTCCCAAGTAAATTTATGAAAGCACCTATGTATTGATGGTTAAACTGCAGAATCACGCTTTTAGTTGGAATCTCCGATCGTATTTGATTTTCTTTCAGCTGACTTAAACATGACTTGAAATTATCTCAGATTATTATTCACACAATGCAAGGAAATCACTAAAGTTTTCAAAAAATGATGTTTAGTAGTTTTTTGTTTGGAAAATGAAGTATGATGGGAAGTCAGCAACGCCACTATCTGAAGTACAGGCTTCTGCAGTTTCATTGCCAGTACATGAAGGAATCAATGGCAAATAAGTTGTTTATGAAATTAGCCATGAAGTTGATTATTTTCTGCTGAACCTAGTCCGTTCATGTGATTCAAAGGCCCTGTGCCTGAACAATCTTGGTGAACTAATGATTCTGAATCCATGTATTTACGGTCTTGATCTTCATTTTGGATGTACTTCACTGCGGAATATCCACTGATAGAGCTCGGTAAATTATTTTTTGAGGTGGTTTTCGAGTTAGTAGATTCAATAAATTATAGAATTTTTAATGTTCCAATTGATCCTGTGCATAGGAATATTTTGCCTAGGATTATGCTCAATAGCCACCTTCTTACAAAAGTCAACCTTCAAAGAAAACTATTCTGAAGAGAGGCAGGTACTTTCAAAGAAAATCATACTTTGAATTTGCAAAATAATTCTAGGAGACCACTCGAGCGAACACCAAAAATATTAAAAACTGGGACAGTTTTTCCTCTTTGTCTGAGGGATGATTTCTGAATGCAGAGATGTCAATGGACTGATGGAGCTCTCTGGGTAATTTGGACGGAAATGGAAACGCACAGAGTTGGATTAAGTTTGAACTGAGAAAGACGTTTGAAATTTCATGCCTCTATAAGACTCAATTTAGGGACAGAGTTGTTTTTTATACTATGTTCACTTTCAAAATATTTTTTCTTAACTTTGAACTTGACATGAGAAAATTTACAACTAATTTAGTTCACAAATATATTTTTTCAAAAATGCAACTTGACGCATTTCTGTCCACTCTCTGTCCACCGCAAGTCAAAGTGGTTCCTAAGTGCATTGCAAAATTCTGACTTCAAAGCAGCTTTTCGTCTATGAAAATGTGCTCATTTAAAATTATTATGGCTGCAAGAAAAAAAAATTTGAATGCCGAAAAAACATAAAGTGAATATTTCAACTGTTCTATCTTGTCCGAAAAGGAACACCTTCAAACTATGCCAGTATAAGAGAATAATACGAATATTTTGAAGAAAAGAAACAGATATTTGAGAACAATATACACGGACGTACTTGTACTAAAAGGAACTAAGTGCATATGGTTTGCATGCAACAATGCACCACAATTATTTTCAGGGCAAATACGTTCATATTAGCGATATATGGAGACTTTAAAAACTTCACTTTAGCCACATTTAATTCATCTGACTATTTTTCTGAGATGCTGAGAAATTTTGCACATTTGAAATAGTGTAGTTCAAATAGGAATCAAGTAGGTTGTTTCCGATGAGTTCGAATAGAGGCTTGCGATTAATAGTCATTTTGCACTTTTCAATGAAAACAAATTAGAATATGGTTGTGTACTATCCTCAATATTAGCAGAACTGTTTGTAACAAGATGTACTAGGTACATAATTCTGACGAAGAATAAAAAAAAACCCGACTTGGACTTTGCAATGGTGCACTTACTCATAAATATAGGCTTGAACACTCTGGATTAGATTCGGCTATCATTACAAATACCGTCATTCAAATTTTTTATTGATACATACAGTCCTATAAATTTCTCAACGTTATGTAGCACTGTAGGCTACAGAACCATCTTGAAAGTCCTCTGGTAACACAAACTTCTGTCTCTTACAAGTATGGTCAAATGAAAAAGTGGCGATTTGATAGCAAAAACTCTTGATCCTTAAATTATTACTCCATGATCTCATACTTAAAATCTGAAAAATGCTCAAGGTCCATGGTAAGAACCACTTTCCCAAACACATCCATCAATATTCGTCAATTCTTGCACAAAAGAATGGGTGTTTTTTTTTAATTTCAACTTATTTTTTTTTTAAATTATAAATTTCACATTATTTTAAAAATAAATAGGTAGATGTAGGATTAGCGATGAAATTATCAATGTCTCTTGAATTTGCTGTTTCAGTATTTCTAAGAACATTTTATTTTCTCATGAGAGAATTTTTGCAAGAATTAGTGTGTATACAAATTTCAGCATCTATTCTTCGAACAAGATAAAGAAAAATCACTAAAAATTTCTGGAAAATTCATGCAACGGTTTTCCTATAAACAAACAAAATGTAAGTAAGAAATACTGACACACAGCAATCGAGGTACGTTTCTTGCTGCAGAAGATGACATATTTGTTCAGTTTTGTATGACCTGTGGACACACTAAATATGCAACAAAACTGTACATAAATAGTGGCAAAAAGAATTAACAAAGATATTCAAATGTGCACTAATTTTAATTATGTACAACAACTCTGACAAGAATAAAAAGTATAAAAAGTTGAGCGACCGCACATAGCACAGGTAAAAAACATAGCTGTAAAAGATTTGATAAGTGCATCTGCCTACTGCCTGGCGCAATGTAAAGTTTGAGCATTACAAGTTTCTGTTCTTTCGGCTCATTGGATGAGCAAAATTCTTCACCTGACGAAAACTTGGCCTTTTCCTCTTTCCACGTAAGTCTATATTTCAGAGCTGTTATTATCTTGATCTAAGAGTGATTCTCTACTTTTTGGTTTGTCACTCAAAATATGTACAAGAAATACAGATATTCTTGGAGAAAAGGGAGACAATGTTCAAAAATTCAGGCAGAAGGCTCAGACAATGTCAAAATTAACTAGTCTGATCTGAAAGAATCATCTCAAAGCATGACCCAGTGAATGCGTGAAGCAATGCAATGCATTTAGACACTTCCTGACCAGCAGTGTATGCAAATACTGCATAAAAATTCCAGAATCAGAGATTGACTGCGAAAAGTTTTTGTTAGCCTTCGAATTCTTAGGAGCCTTGATCAGGACCTCAATTTTCAGGCATTGGGCACGAATTCTCGTATGCAAATAGCGCAGAAAATTTTGAGCACAGAAAGGAACTTTACTGAGCCTACTCTTGATTCCCACTCTGCAAGTCATAATTGAATTGCTGAGTGTAAAACCTATCACTAAGAAGGACAAAACTTGAGGGAAAAACATAGATTATTAGAGCTTGCTTCAGATGAGGTGGCAGTTGTTTACTTCCCGTTTGCAAGAAACTGCATTGCAGTTCAACGATGGCCATTGAGGATTAACGCCAAAAACTCCGCTACCATGCTTAGAAACATACTACTGCGCGTTATAAACAACAATAAAAAACGCAAAAGTGTATTGCCTTCAGAAAATACACTAAAACTGCCAGCTCATCTGACGTAAGTTCAACTAAACTGATTTTTTTTTTTATTATGAGAGGATTCAGACAGGAAATTACCTGTCTCTTATTATGATGAACTAGAGACACTAAAAGGAATTATTTTTCACGGCAACTAAAATGGTGGATAAAAACATTGATAGGAGCATTGATAGAAGGAAAGTCGGACTAGGCGCAAAATCTTCTTAAGTCGTAACAAATAACACAAACCATGATAAATTTTACAGATAGCACCAAAAATTGTATCATTACTCCTTCCAGCTAACTGATGATACAAACAAGAAATCTTGATAAGACAAGGATACTGACTACTTCCAAGAAAAGGAACTTACCATCGATAAGTAAACTTGAAAAAATTAAAGTACAAAAGTGTCAAATTTTAAGATTCAGGGAGGAGGAGGATTGTTCGAAGAGCCAAAACGCTTGGGACAAGTCACTGAAAAAGCGAAGGGTCCTAACAAATTTACAAAATAGAAGTAACAACAGAGAGGTTGCGATTTATGAAAATACAATGTAGACAAGGAGGTCGAGTCCTTGAGCTTGCTAACGCTAAAACATCTACTTAATTTTGGAAGTCCATTGTCTGTCATGGATTGTATACCTCCATCATCAAAATTATTTGATACGATATTGTACCAAACGAAAATTTTCAATCCAAAATGCAGGAAAACTGAAGAAATCTCATCAAACTAAGAGCGAAGAGACTAAATTGTTAAGAACTACAACGCTTCGTTTCTTCTATTTTTTAGCCACATTTTGCGGTTTAAAATTACTCTTGCGCGTCAGAGTAAGCATTTACTAAAAAATCATACAATTCATTTCATTTTTTTTTTTTTTTTTTTTTAAATGTTGATGATGAAGTACAGAAAAAAATGGCACTCTATGATGGTGCGGAACAGACTTGTAAAATGCATAAAACTGGAGGAGATTTTTCTGCACAAAATGTGGCTTTTTCTTCAGAAATCTAAATTAACTGAGTAACTTTGACTTCAGTATTACTAGCTAGGGTCATGGTTAATTTTGTTTTGATTATTGCTGAGCAAATTTAAAGAAACATCAATTGTACATCAACGCTAATGCTAGAGGCAGGAGGGACAGACTCCTAAAATTCCAAAACCCTGCCTCTCTACAGAGAGAAAGGAAAGAATCCTTCGAAGGCTCCTCAATAATTTACCCTGAGGATTTCTCCCCATCCAGACTGGAGGAGATGAAAATCATACAATAAATGATTCAGCCCTATAAAAATTTCTAAAACTTCACCAAAAATTGAGACTAATAAAAGCAACGAATGTTCGTTACAGCAGTTTCTTCAATTTCTCAACCGAGGTTACATTTAATACAATTTCGGATGAAAAGTATATCCTGAACGTATGTTTGCAAGTCTAGCCTTTCTATAATTGATTTTTCAAAACTAGGTAAAGAAATTCCAATTTAGAACTTCATCTGAAAGCTTCATACTTTGTTTAGAATTGAAAAAGATCACAAAGATAAACATTCTTTGTGGTCCTGCAAATATTTTGAATCTGACAAGGTTACCAGGACAAAATAACCATTAACACTACACACTACTTAACTGACAAAACATAACATGAAAAATTGAAACAAAAAATTAAAGAAACAAAAAGATAAAAAATTGAAAGTCACCGGTAAAAAATGATCCTGAGGGACCTTGAACACTTTAAATGACGTTACTATTGTACTACGTTTCGAATTGGTAGGTACTCGCTCATGTGCCGCATGGATACAATTATGTATCTCTTTGCTGTACGGCGACATCTACCAACAGACGCAGCCGCTTAAACTGATCGTCTTCCTCGTCTTCAATATCACCAACAGTCACTTCTCGCCCGATCGAATGTGCACTCCAGAAGTCTGGTTCGGTTACTGGCCTTGGCCTGGAAAGTGGGAGAAAAAAACAGATCAGAGAGTGCAAAGAATTTGAAGCATGTAGGCAACCTAACTTTAAATGTTTAGTCATCTTGTAATCATCTTAAGTCGCTTTTCATGTGAGCTGAAGCTTACACACACCAAAAAAAAAGAAAAGGAAAACTGGCAACTGACACAGTTTTACAGAGGAAATATTGGGTCTGCTATCGTAGCCTTCTTACTAAGGGACCTCTAACTCTCAGAAATGAAGAAAAACTTAATGAGAGGTAGAATAATGCTTGACACTCTCAGGGAGATCTGTCATTGCCATCATAATGATTCGTTGAAATCTAAAAGGCAAAGAATTGAGATTTACTTTTTGGAGGAAAGAAGCTCCTCCATGGCCAAGATAAAGACATCTATATTGATATCTGACTAACTAAGTTTCTAAAGCTGAATTATTACCCTTTTTTTCATTTTGTGAGATTATTTTTAACCATTAAAGAGACTGGATACTGCTCAGCTTTTGCAAACTGATCATTTTTCCATGAGGGCTTTTGCAAACTGATCATTTTTCCATGAGGACTTTTGCACATTAGACAGTACTTCATTCACAAAAAACTTGACTCTTTCCTTGGCATTCTCAAGATTTCAGTTCTTTAATATCAGCTTGATTTTTATTTCTTTTTGATGGAAATAATATTTAAAATCATACAAGACTATCATTCATTATGGAAAAAAATTGAATAGAAGTTTAATACCTTTTTAGACTAAATTGATGAATTATTAAATGGACGGTGTTAAGCAGAAAGGAGCCAAGCCACATCAGCTAGTGTCACATTCAATTGGGCAATTCAATTTTCTACATGAAAACGGTTGTGCGGATTATGTTGCAAATTTCAGTGAATTTTTTGCACAATGCGAAGTAAATTGTTTCCTTAAAATTTTCAAAGAATCTGCACGAACGTTCCTTTTGAAAAAAATAAACTGCCCAATTAAATTTGGCAATGGCGGAGTGGCTTAGTTCCTTTCTGCTGAACGCGGTCCAAATTCCAGTCCATAATAGGCAAACACCGTTACAATCTGTAATTTACTTACAGTTTTACATTAAAATTCACACTGTTTCTGATATTCTTTCACTTAGGAATTTTTCTCTTATGGACAATCAGTGTTCGAAACTCACATTGGAGTTTCAAGAGCCATGTGGCGCATCAAGGTAGCTTTTTAGGGGCCATTAAAGATTATTTAGGGGCCAAATTGACTTTTTTCTAGGTATCACGGCGCATTAAGTAACAAGTTAGCCGCGAGATGTTTTAGTTACAGAACTAGTAGCTGTTACTTGGGGGAAATTTCGAAAAATCACCGAACAGAAAAACTATGATTTTTTTTTAAAGGGGGGGGGGGGGGGGNGGGGGGGGGGGGGGAGGCAATTTTTAGGGGCCACGATGGCGCAGAGCCTTCATTTTTTGGGCGCCATGACCGATTTCTTAGGCGCATTTGGCGCCTGTGAGTTTCGAGCAATCAATTGGTACTTACGGAGAGTGGTCAGGCTGTGAACTTTGGGAGAGAAAAACATTGGTTGTCCAAGGAACTATAGTTGCCGGTTCTTCTTCACTGGGTGAGTAACTACTTTCATAGTCAGGACTAGCAGGAACAGAATGATGACTGGATGAAGAACTCCCAGGTTTCTTGCCGCGTCGGGTAATAGTGAAATGCTGAGGGTCATGACCATCTTTCTTTATCATTTCTGGCAGAATTCTCCGGCGAGCATTGATAAACCAATTGCAGACCTATCACAATAGATTCTAGTTAATACTTATTGTAGAAAAAACAGTCAATTCCTGAGTGAATTTTGATTTTGAAAACTCCTCATATTTTTCAGGACACTGAAGTATATATTTTAGCTTATTTCCTAGTTCTTCAAAGTGGCTAGTGAACACAAAAATAAATCTCATGCCCCGGAGCACAAAAAGATCAGGGAAAAAAAATTGGACGACAACCATTTTTAACGCTACATTGATGGCTAAGTGTTAAAGTGTGGCTAAGTAACTCAAAGACAAGGAAACTTCGAACCTCCATACCTTCTTGCTTTCATCTTGGTCAGCTCCAAACTATTTTCCAATAATGAGAAAAACATTTCTAAGTCTTGCAAGCTCAAAACAAAAACCAAGCCAGGGTTTGCATTATTTTGTCCATTCCCCCTCCTTGACTTTCCTTGCTTTCCCCTGACTTTTTTTGCTATTCTGAAGCTCAAAATTTCCGACTTTTCCATTTGACAACACTAATTTTCGCTTTGCTATGGACAAAATTTCCACTTCTGGAGATTCAAATGTGATCAGATCTGTAGAGTGGACTCGTCTTCCAGGAAAGAATTTTCACACCACTTTGCAAAGGCAAGGAGGAAGAAAATCTGGATATTTTGGCGCAAGTTGATTCATTGTTTTCTGTAAATCCTCAAAACAATGGACAGTAAGGCGGTACATTATTCACTTTCCCATCGCTATCCACTGTATTCAGAATTTTGCAGAAAATAATTGCTCATGAACAATGAAGGGGTAAGGGACTTATCATCCATTCATTTCTTTAAAAAATCCTTAGACTTAGAGGTTTTTGATTCATCAGTTTTCCTCGCTTTTTTCGTAACCAAACGACAAAAAAAAAAATCCTATGGTATTTCCCAATTGGACAAGAAACTTTTGCCAACAACCGGTTGCGGAAAACTACGAGCAGCTATCAGCCAATCGAAGGCATCTCTTCCCTACTGCTGAAAATATAGGGTGTCTCACAACCTCAAGTTCAAATTAAGGTTCTTCTTCTTTCTTTGATCTGTACAAACTATAGTAAAGTCTAGCTGTATTACCTCTAAAAAATACTTTGTTCTCTAAGAATTCGTTTTCCAAAAGGAGGATGGAATGATTAAAAATAATTACAATAAGCACCTCCGTTTCGCAAGCCCAGAAATTAAGTGAGAGATATGTTGTTTTCCATTAGTGCAATGAAAGTCACAGCCGAGACGATAAATTAATTTCTTTTCTTTTATAAAAAGACAGTTTCAGTGTCAAAATGAAGGAGTACCAACAAAGCACAGCATGATAATAAAAACAGAATAAAAAACTGCGAAGTAGGTATCATTTTTGCTGAATAAGTTTTAAATTTTATGCGTATTAAATTACCTGCAATATTGTGAGATTGGCTTCCTGAGCAAGTAAAGCCTTCTCAGTATCTGTCGGATAAGCATTGAACCTATGGTCGTACAGCCACCTGCGCAAGATCTTGACTGAATGCTTCGGTAGATTACCTCTTCGTTTACGTGGTGATGGACTGCAACTACCACTGCTGCTCGATGTATTCAATTTTCCACTGGAATGATTGCTTGAGTAGAATTCATTGTCTGAACTTGAGTTTTCTGCACTACTCCATGAGCCAAACCTCTCATGCCCTAGGACAGAAATGAAACCCATGAGTGAAGAACGAAGCTTCAAGGATCCTTAGTTTTGTTAAAATGATCGAGTTCTACACCAGATGAATTAACACCCTTTTCCAGGCATTTACTATCTTATTCATGTGTTTTCTGATTAGATATTTTGTATCAATCAGTGAAACAGCAATAAAATGTATAAAAATATTGTGCTTCTGCACAAAATTATTTATTTTTCTGTTTTTCTTCCCAAAATACAACTTTTAAAATTATTTTCAAGCATTCCTTGTAATAAAAAATAAGTAGATATATTTCAGTTAAAAAAATCCATGAAGAAAAACTAAAAACAGCGCTTGGACAGCATTTTGCAATACAGAAATGCAATTTTTGGCTCATCCATAAAAACACATATGTGCATAGGGAAACTTATGGCCCAAAAGTTGTTTGTATAACTAGCCAGGAACAGTGGTTCCTAATCGCAAAATGTGGTCCACTTCAGCTTTAGTTTTTTATATGAAACGTAAATAACTGGAAAAGAAAATGACAATACTAAAGGAAATTATGTCGCTTAGTGAGGGAAATGAAAAATTAAAGCGTGTAATTAGATCTGAGCATGCATTTTGACAGCTAAAATTGAAAAATGCGTATCATAGAATGCAACATAGTAAGTCTCAGCACTCGTTTTATTTTCTGAAAAGAAAACTAACCAGCTGTTTCCATTCAAATTTGTGGATTTTCTTCACTCTTTTTAACAAAAAAAAAAAAGAAAAAAAAAATTAACTAGGTAACATTACCGGGAATTTTGTTTCATTTTTCTTGAAGAAAATAAAACAAAATTGGGGATTTTCAGACGTTGCAATTAAGATACGCAACTTTCTAATTTAGCCATCGGTATACTCATAACAACAATACGAGGAAAGAAAATCTGAAGGTCAGCAGACACTAACCCATGAAGGGGAATGATTTGTAGAGGGGTACTGAGGCATAAAAAAGTGAAACACGAAGGAATTTGCAGAATGCTGTCTCAGTGCATGAAAAGGGTGGGGATTCGTGAAGAGTAAATATAAATTTTTGAAAAAAAAAAAAAAATGAAGCACAGGCGATGGGACAACCAGGAAGTGCAGTTTGCTGGAGCCAGCAACGAGAGGAAGGCAGAGGTATGCGGGGAGGGGGGGAAGGGAAGAGCAAGAATAGACACGTGCTATTTAAAGAAATGTCACTAACACATTGTGCACCCAAAGTGGGCTACAATCAGACTCCATGCCTTGCCAAAACTCAGCTGCTGGGTCAATACACTTTGTCACAGCTCATAGTGGCCACCTGTCCTCTCTTGTCTTTTCATATTTTTGTCCTGAGGTTCACTAGTAGGTATAGGTAGGAATACGTAGGTATATGTAGATTTGCAGGAATCATAAGGTTCCAGCATTCTAATATTTTTGCAGCAGTTATAACGAATTATGCAGAGCACTTCCAAAAGAACATAACAATTTAAGTTGAATCTATTGCAGGAGTAAGCAAACGTTAAAATATCAAACACATTCTGGTAAAATACCAGAAAATTATTGGTAAAAGAACAGAGTGATTGTGCCCTCAGACAAATTTCAGCTGTTCTGTTTCAAAGAATCCAATCACTTATGTAAATCCTAAATACAACTAAAAATATGTATACGCAAAAACAAACCATTAGATTCGACTAACCGAAAAGAGTAATATGCGTTTGCATACTTTCGGCTTTGAAAATGGATTCTTTAGAAAAGATACTCCGCTGAATTGTGCTATAAGGAGTGATAGATCAGTTTTTTAGCGACAATTAAAAATGAAATTGATGATTATGCAAAATTTGTCCGATATTTAGATGTTTGTTTACTTCCAGTGTAGATTCACCTTGGAAATGATTCTTTCGTAAGAGTTCTGTGGACTAGAGGTGATAGGGAGGGGGAGGAAAAGCAGTTATGTCCATAATTTAGCTACTGTGCTAATAAAAGCAATTAGCTTCTTGTACACAAGAAAATTGAAATAAGGCGAGAAAAGAAGTGCGTCCGTCCCAGTTTTATTATCTCTTGAACGTGGTTGAGCTAATTTAATTATTAAAGTTTTAAGGATTCTTTTCCGGTGGGTGGTTTTTTTTCTCTTTTTCTTTTTTGATCAATTATTCACACAACATGCAATTGAAGTGCTGGAAGCAGAAGAAGAACCTCTTAATTATTGCCGTGTCTAGGAATCTCTTTTAGGTATTTATCTTTTAATCTAATGAGAGATAACAAAATGTACAACAAAGTAGGCATTTTGTTCAAACTTTCACTGAATATTCTCTATGATTTTACAATTTTCTAATCGACTGATTCCAGAAAAATCGACCATTAGTTTCTTCTAAACCGCACCGCAACTGAGTAGTGCTTTATCTGAACCCAATGCTTCAATTTTTGTACTTTTTTCCATGTGAGTGGTGGAATGAAAAAACTGATGCAAGGAAGAAATCGACCACACAGTCAATGCAAGATTTTTTTTTCTAATTAAACTGTGTATGCTTTTGAAACTCCATGTTTTTCAGGATCCAACTTTCATCATATAATTTTTCCAGTTGAAAACGAAGAAAGAAAACTTTCGAAGACAATCTTTCGGAAAGGGTCAAAACACAGCTTCAGAAAAAACTACGATGTATCTGTTTAAGATAATAACATATTGATACAGAAGTCCAAAAAAGGGCCCATATTAAGCAACCAGTTGAGTATTTTGAAAAGTAGGTAAGAGCTGCACCACATGCAAAAGTGCGTTTAGTTCAACTTTTGCCTCTTTATCTATTCTTAACAAATTCACCAGGCGTTATCGAATAACCGGGCAAACTGCCAAACTCTCCTTCTCTCTCTGGCTCAAGAGACTGAAGCCGTCAGCACATTCTTGACTAACCGTGTTTAATGAAAACGTTCTAAATGTCAAGCTCCCGGACACTTAGAACAATTGAAAGTGCCTTTATCAACGCACCTTGTCAAGAAAATAACTGAATTTTGAAATCATTGAAACATGAAGTTTAACACTTGACACAGACGAGATTATATCAAACCTACTATGAGTCTAAATTGGACGAATTTAAGTGGAATTGCCCAAAGTATATGAGACGCTACCCAATTTCCTCTCATATTTTATTTTTTCAACAGAAGTAAAAAACCACTTTGACCAGAAATTTTATGAGTACTTGTATTCTTCAAAGGCCAGGAGAAATGTGCAGACAGTTTAAAAGCATTTTGTTATTTGGTTCTCTGTAAAGAAAAATAACATTTGGCAGGGATTTGGGCAACGTTAAATACAGATAGGCTGATCTGGATTAAAAACGTCCAATTGCATTCAATGAAAAAATAATAATAAAAAAAAATTGATCAAGTTTGTTGGCAAGAGACAAGAACATTGAATTTTAGGTAAAATTTTGCAATCTCTTCTGTGACTGTAAGACAGGAAAGGACCAAAAAATACGATTTTTAGGACATTTTTTTTTGATTGATTCTGATTAGTACTGTTTATTTTAAAAATTATGACTAGTAAAATTGTGTAATTATGGCGGGAAGAGTGTAAACTGCAGAATGTTGGCAGCATCATAATGTATGTAATCTTTTTTCCCTTCTCATGAACTTCCAATTATGGAATCTGCAAGCAACTCAGCTATGCATTTTTTCATTGTAAAAAATTCAATTTGACCTATTGGTCTGTCTAAATATACATCGTAATACATTGATATTCTATTGTTCCTTTGGATGGTTAAATGAAGTAAATTAATATGAAAAATAGACAATAAGAAGCAGAAAAATCAATTTAACTGACTATTGCTTTAGGTAAAAAAGAAAGAAAGTTCCAGTTAAATTGTTGATCTCAGTGCAAACAGGGAAATCGACAGTAAACAAAATGATTTTGTAATTATTAAAAAAGAAAGGAGGTCATCTTGGGGATTTCTCCATGGTGATTTGCTTTTTTAAAGAGTGCCGTTTCCAACTTACAGTTTGATATTACCTTGGGCACTTAGCTCCTCCTTAATCTGTTTTGCTCGAGTCATTATAAAAGTATATGATTCTTAACAAACGAAAAAAAACCTCCAGTGCCAATATGTAGTTCTCTTAATTGGTCAAAATATTTCTTTTTAGTGCAATGACTGTTTCTTGATATAAAGAGAAAACTGTGTTGCGGAAATGACTCCGAAATCATAATATTCAGAAAAGTCCGGCAAAAAGAAGGGCAGCACACTGAATTACCAACTAGGCTTTGTCTCAAGCCAGTTAGCAGGTCTCACCTCTATACGGAGACTTCACTACATAGAGAGGTGGACTCTTCTCAAGAGTATGCGTAGGATTGCTGAAAGTTCCCACAAGGCGACCATACTGGTGAGACAGCATTTGTATCTATGACCAAGATTCCAAGTTGTCTCATGGAAAAATGCCTCATATTACCGCGAAATACCTGATTTCAGGACAAAATGTGCAATAAGTCTTTTTACAGGGATGAGAAGAAAAAGAAAATCATCAACTACGAGCATTACCTCTATTGCCGCATTAATATTACGGCTTACTATGAGCTTGTAAGTTTATACTAGGCGACACCTGTTTGTGTTCCTGGTGAAACTTTACTGAAGAAGAGATGATTCAATTGAAAAATCTGGCAGTATGCAAGCTTAGATGGTTTACCTGATCGAGAAACTCTGGAAAGTCTTGTTCTATAGCTTGGGCTGTTATCTTGGTGGATTGGGTCGCAAACAATACGGCCATCCAAGATGCTCATGTTAAGACGTTGATCTTCCTAGGCCTGTAACCTCGTTGCATACATCTGAAAAATGCGGATAAGAATTACTAACAAGAGGAGAAAGAAAGAGTAAAAAAAAAGAGAATTATCATGTGAGGATGTGAAATGTAATATTGATCGCAACTATCCTGGAAATCAAAGTAATTTTTGATGATAGAAGACTTGCATTTAATGTAGACCTAAACACTCTAATATATTCTTTTTTTTACACCTGATTTGGCAAGTTAAGTCAATCAGAAGCAAGTGTGGTATTTCCAACTTATAGTAAAACGTAAATGTAGTAGCTATGTTTGATACTTGGAGTCTCATGGGGGGATGGCACCTTCATCCATGAACAATTATCCGCGTGAGTTTCTAAATTTCTCCTGTCAACTTTCTGCCGCCAAAACTTCTGTTTGCTTTGATATTTGTAAGTAAAATTTATGACCAACACTTCTCTATGCTCTGGTATCGAGGCCTCAGGACTACAAGCAGAGCTATGGAGGACTATGGTCATATTTCGAATGAACTGTCACTCAGATTATGAATTATAGAAAGAATATAAAAGTAAGCTATCTACTTGTGAGTCAGTGATATCACACTGTTGAATGGTTGACAATTGAAACAGAGAGGATCAAATTACATTCATGGCTACTTCGATAGGTAGTTGAATGTAAGGTGGCTTCATAAGAACTGATGAATGCAAAGTGTGGTGTAACACATACTGCAACCTTTTGGCGGGGCATGCACTTGGTAGTTGACTGAGTAAATACTGACACCTGGAAACTTTGACAAGTTCTTGTGCACTGAGTCAGCACTCCCCAACTGCCACCAGCGGAAAAAGTAAACCCAGACTGATTTATCAAACCAGGGCTGCATTGCAGACAGCTAATTCTATCAGAAAAGAGAGATATGAGAAAAGCAGATGTTGACTTACGAAGCAAATTAGATTGGAATTGTGTGAATATACTCAGAATGTAGCGTCAGTCAAGTTTCGTCGTGTTCAGGAAAACTGCTGATAGCCAGGGCGATAACGTTCAGAGCTTCGCCGAATTACGATATGAACTGGTCTTGCGAGGATGCAGAGGACGAATTTCAGATCGCGAACTGACTTGAGAAAATTCAATTTACCTTGTTCATTGGAAATTACAAGCAATGACCACACGCGAAAGCCGCTCAGGTGAGAAATGTCAATGTGACATGCGGGCCGAGCGCACAATAACACCGTTTGACACAAGAGGATTTGATTCAATGTGTACGAGATGATTAACCCGTGGTGGTTCAGTTAAAATCTAAAATGATGAAACGCAAGTCTCTCGATGAACTGTTACGAAATTTTAATGAAAAGAAATTTCGAATTCGGCAGCACGTGGTGATAACCTCGTGAATAACCAATTCCTACTTAGAATTCCTGGCCATTGGAGAATACGTGTGAGAGTGTGTGAGTAATATCTCCCAAAAACAAAGGGAAGCCGCCGGGCTACGTTTGGCGGGTTGCATACGTTTCCCGGTTATCTCCCATACATTTAGTACAGTGACATGCATTTAATACTTTTTTCCTTAATTTAAAATGTGATTCTGCCGAACAAATTTGTTTCTTTCGATAAAACTTGCCAAAATATTCAACTGGAAATTCCACGCCTAGAATAAATTCACTTTCTCATGTAAAAAAATCAACTTTTATAAGTCCTCCCCTATACGATCCCGTGTGTTTTCGGGAGTTACGAACATTTAACCTCAAACCCATGGCCAGGTATTGGGAGATGGTATTGGAATAACACAAATTAGTGGTTCGTTCAGCGAACATCCGACAGACAGCAGCACTGCTTAAGCTGCTCACTTTTTCCAAATATTCCGCTGTTGAAAATGTCTACCCTCCCTTGCAATAATCCCACGTTTCAGTCCATTATTTCCAATTCATAAATTTTGGAATTTGATTTTTAACTCGTAATGTTTTGATCTGTGTAGATAAGCGAGTGTCCGAGCTGCTTATCTATTTAAGGGCACCAACTTAAAAATTGTGGCCCCGGGTTGCTCTAATCGCGTGTTCGTCTTGTTCTATCTTCACTGCTAAAGGGTGAACTGTAAGTTTGCATCCTTCAATTTTTACATTCTCTGATCGCTGCAAGGGACTCGCTCTTGAAAACCACCCTTGCCCTACGAGAGATCAAAGTGAGGCGCTCCAATGTTACTTCAGATCAATTGAGCACCATTTGGTACAAAGGACCCATCTATGATTGGAGTTTTGAAAAACGATTTTTCTTTTAAAAGTGTATTCAAGGTCGATAGGAAATTACAGAGGTCCTTGGCGAAGTAGCCTTTTTCTGATTCAATCCAACGAACCTGAAGCTATAGATAGGGTGATCCTATGCTACGCCAACAGTGAAATTCGTGATACACCAGCAGCCTGATTGTTTAAATTTTGTGTTTGTCGGGTAGACATAGATGACATTGGTTTGAAGGCAGAGCGTGGTTGGTCGGCTATGTCTTATCGCTGCTTTATCGTGCCTTTGTCAGGTGGAATGGACGACATACTGTTGGAAACTTAAGAGGTTTTGTTAGCTTGTCGTGAGTTCCACCCGACTAAGGCATGGCAAAGCAGCGATAAGACATAGCAGACCGATCATGCTACGCCTTTTAGCTTGCGTCATCTATGTCTACCCGACAATAGGGGTGGTCAAACGAATTTTTGCCGGAACGCTACCGGTATCGTCTCTTGCTAAAACTTGTGGCAGTACTGACGGTGGCGATGATATCGTTAACAACCAGCTTTATCGGAGTTTTGAGAGCTGCCACTCAATACCATGGTTTTCGATACATGGGTACCCGGCCATCTGATGTGAGCGAAGAAAAAAGGAATTACTAAGTATTCCACACTGCCATTTTTGATCGAACATGTATTGTAAAAGTGACTGAAGCTCGGCGCACACAGGGCTCGGAACTCATCTAGCAGAACATGGCACCAGCTCTCCCATTCATATTACGACTCCATGTACTCTATGTTCTAATGGGACTGTTGCTGAATGAGGACTGAAATCAAATTCATTGTCAGAACCAACTATTTGTAAATCTGTATACATATTACTTGTATAACTTAACTATTCCTCAAGTGAATTTACGATAAAAATTTCAATGCTAAATCATTCATCGTAAAAACTCCCCTCAGATCCCTTGTTATTGAGGTTATGATGAGAATAGCAATTAGACAGTTCCACTTTCCGCCAGCCTATCAAATGACTGCTCCATGTGTGTTATGTTTTTTCGTAGGCCACCACCAATCTACAGTTTCTTTATCATTGATTCGATCTCCAGTAGAGATGTGTATCGGCCCATCAACCAATGCGTTGAAGGAAAGGGAAGGCAAAAACACTGTTTTATGCCCTAATGTTGGTGCAACCCTAATTAGACCTAAGCTTGTTGGTAGTGGCTTAGAATTATCCACCTACTAGCCAATCGCCACCTTCTGTACTTTTCTATGAATCTAGAGTTGGGCAAACTTGCAGTATCCGATACCTTTGCCTTCTTGATTCAAAGATTGGACCAATACTAACCTCAGAAATTGAAATACTACTGCTTCTAAGCATTGTTACTAGTGACAAATAGCCCAGCGCTAAATTGTCTTCTTCCGGACTTTAGTTCAGGAAGCAGTTTAAAGAATGAGGAGGGGACGAAATATGCGAGATTAAAACTAACTTAGTTTAGAACTGGAATTATTTCAAAAAATCATTGAACAAATTCAAGTTTAAAACTACCTGCTAGTTGCAGATAAGGTGTGAAGTATTGAAGGAAGATTATTTTTCTAAAATTTTTCCGTTCTCATTTCAGCCGTTGAATCATGGCGATCAATTATTCACCACCTATCAGGACAATTTTCACGGACATTTCAGGACCTTTTATGGTTCAGCAGCATTTCGGAAGGTGTGCTTTCTTTGAAATGCGCTTCATGGAGTGTCTTGAGGCTTATGGAGCAGACCAGGCCATGCAGAAGTGCTTAGCTCAACGTGCAGACTTTAATGAATGTATTGCTCAAAGAAACCAGGTGAATATAAGATTAAATAAATGACCTACTTTTTTTTGGGAACATAGCTTTGCACTTACTGCAAATTTACTTTTTTTGATTTGTTGATGGGCCACTTTTCATTACTGTAATCTTCATGCCAAAAAATTCTAAACCGCCTATCACTAACCTTTTCTGTGAGGGCAGTTCATCAGTTTAAACCGTGAAAAATCAGTCGCTACTCCAGTCTTAGAGGTGACCGTTTTTTATATTTTAACCTCATACTTATTTTCTGGATTGAAAATGCCCGAGAGTTTAGGCAGAACGTCTTGCTTTTTTTTTAAAGTCAATTTTAGCCTTTTTTCCCCAGTTTGTGTTCTTGTGCTGTGTGTTAACTGGGCTACCTTACATTTTCTCATTCTTATGCTTATATATATTTATCAAAAATTTGTTTAGGCTGTCACTTGTAATGTCTTCTTATACTGTCTTATATATCCAAGGTGTAGGTCCACAACCTTGTATCTCTGTTCACAGACCTCCTATCATACTTCGTTTTTTGAATGGAAAATTGCTCAACAGCAATTCTTAAAAACTGCTATGATTTTTCTTCTCTGTGAGGAAAAAAGTTCTGCGAAAATTTTGAGAAATGATGTCCATTTGTTCTCCTTTAAAAAAAAGTAGGGAGATTTTCACACACTGCAAAAGATATACATGGTTGCGGACTTACACCATCGATATTTATGTAGAGGTGCTGATTTATTATTACAGCACTTAAATATTATCACTTGCAGTAGTTGACCTACTGAGGGAATCTTAGAGAATTTTAAGATAATGAGTCAACTGGGGATTGAAGCTACCTGTCAACTGAATAAGTACAGTGGTCATGAAAATTCAAGGAATGCGATATGGAAAAAAGTAACAATTTGTAAGAAAGCCCACTGAATTGACAGCTTGTAAGCAGGCCATTTTACTTTTCCATACATCAAAGAGTAGAGAGATTAAAATTCTGATTCAGAGAGAGCACCAGGAGACTCCTTTCAGAGTCATTGGCTTGTCTCAAGCACGCAATTTTTTTTTCAACCTCAGTGGGAAACACCTTGTCACTTTGAAATTGAGCCACCGTATCATATCAAACTCAGGAATTGGTATTATCTTGAAAGTTATATGTATGTTGTTTTAATAGCTAAGTGTAGATTCTGATAACAAAACTCCAGAATGTACGAAAAAAAAAAGAGTATTTTAAGTTTAATGATAATGCCCAGAAATCAAGCACGGTCTTTGCCTACAGGATTAGGTGAGTGTAAAAAAGAGTTGAGCTCAGAAAGGATCTAGCTGTATTGCTAAAATGGCCTGCTTACAAGCTGTCAATTCAGTGGGCTTTCTTACAAATTGTTACTTTTTTCCATATCGCATTCCTCGAACTTTCATGACCATTGTACTTCTTCAGTTGACAGGTAGCTTCAATCCCCAGTTGACTTATTATCTTATAATTCTCTGAGATTCCCTTAATAGGTCAATTACTGCAAGTAATAATATTTAAGTGCTGTAATTACAAATCAGCACTTCTACATAAATATCGATGGTGGAAGTCTGCAACCATGTATCTCGTTTGCGGTGTGTGAAAATCTCCCTACCTTTTTATTCATTTATTATACAATGAACGGGCAAAGAGCCCAAGATACATAAGACAATTGAACAATCCAAAATGGCAACAATTTGATGCACTATACATTACAATATTACAAGAATCTATCAGAATATTTACAAAGAATACATTTAATTTAACTAATAAGTTTCGAAAGCCTAACCTCTAGCTAAAAACTTAAGATGCAACAACTCCGTACATTCCTGCAGATCCACTGGAAGATCATTCCAGTACCTAACCATCATGCACCCAGGAGAGAAAAAATGGTCATTGGACCTGGAATGATACTTTTTAAAGGAGAACAAATGGACATCATTCCTCAAAGTTCTCGCAGAACTTTTTTTCTCACAGAGAAGAAAAATCATAGCAGTTTTTAAGAATTGCTGTTAAGCAATTTTCCATTCAAAAAACGAAGTATGATAGGAAGTCTGCGAACAGAGATACAAGGTTGTGGACCTACACCTTGGATATATAAGACAGTAGGCATAAGAAGACGTTACAAGTGACAGCCAAAACAAATTTTTGATAAATATATATAAGTATAAGAATAAGCAAATTTAAGGCAGCCCTATCAACACACAGTACAAGAACACAAACTGGGGAAAAAAGGCTAAAATTGACTTTTAAAAAAAAGCAAGATGTTTTGCCCAAACTCTTGGGCATTTTCAATCCAAATAATAATTATGAGGATAAAATCTAAAAAACGGTCACCTCTCAGACTGGAGTAGCGACGAGGTACATCTTTATTTAAATACAAAGATTAGAAGAACTAATCTAATAATGTCTCTGAATCAAATGACAAGATCACAAAGAACATGCCTAAACTCCAATTTAAGGTGTCAATCTCTTGAAGTTTCTTTCCTCATGGATATTTTTTGTTTCGCAGCATATTCATCATGTTGTCTTACTAATCTCTTTTCAGCAACGGAGAGTTGCAGCTATGAGGGAAGAACGAGAGAGGCAAAGGAAGGAGAAGGGCTTGGGCAAAAAGGATCCTCGTGCGTATGCAGAACCTCCTCCAAGGGACTCTTACACGTTCATGGATCAAAACTGAATCCAATCTTCCTCTCGGGAACAGATTGTAGTCAATAACTTTGAAATATTCCAAGGGCGCTCCTTCAATACTTTTCGGTGCTGCTCAGTCCTGTCCTTCACACTATCTACCGTTAAGTCAGTTCGTCTAAAAGAAAATTCTTGTCTTCGTGGTTCATTTCAAGCTGGGATGCAAGTGCGATTGCACTTATCAATATAATTTTCAAAGGTCGGAAGTCAGTATGTATCCGTTTTAAAGATGTATTCCATTCTTTTCACTTTGTTTTATTGTGAAATAATATTATCGTTATGAATAAATCTACGTTCAAAGAAAACTTTTTTTTTCTTTCGATGAGGTGAATTCAAGAAGAGCTTTATGATTGCCATCTTGATGCACGTTGAAAAACAAATTTTTTGTTTATGAACCAAGAACTGGAAAGCCAAAAGGTCATGAGTTAACACTCAGTTCATTTAAGCTAAGAAGTATGTCCCATTTGAATCCAAGTAAACTCCGTTCAACTTCTTGTACATTCGTCTCGGAAACTTTTAGATATTTGTACAAGATTGAAATTTTGCAGATTTGAAAATATGACTGTTGGCTACAACTGAAACCAGAGGTATGAAAATATTTTTGCATGAAAGTTTCTTTTTGAGAGATGAAAATTTGGCAAATTATTTTGCAATTAATCTCAGCTGTATTTTGGCATACATTGAAAAGTTATGAGTCTACAATTTTAATTGTAGTTTCACTTATAGCCCTGATTCCAAGGAAATTTTTTTGAAAAAAGTAGGTAATGTAGATTGCACCATTAATTCTCAAGGATTATGCGGCAGAAGGTAAAAGACTCCTTTTTTTTTACAAAAATGTTAAAAACGAAAAAGGAAAGGAAAAACTCACATACTCAAAAGAGCATGCACAAGCGCTCTTTATTTTTGAAAAATTTCAATAAATACATAGGCTGTCCAAAAAGTACCAAGACTGGTTCCATAACTCAAAAACCAAGATAGCTAGAGGCTTGATCTTGGTCTCATTTGAAAGATCAACTCAACATCTATCGATTGAGACCAAAATCAAAATTTTCGGTCAAGTATTTCAAAAGTTACAACACTGTTTGTAAAAAAAATATCTGGACCCCCTACCGTTTTTAATGACTATTTTCTCTTGCCAGGAACACTCTCTAAATTATTAATGATCAGTGCACGATTCTTTTGCAACTAATCATGGCAAAACCTAATTGATATGGAAACACTGTCAAGCCGTCGTCGTCCGACTACGGGTATAAGGGTTCAAAGTCCACGGGGAAAGAATCAACCGTCGGTCAGCCACCCCTAAAAAACCCGGGAAATTTTCGGCAGTTGTTGACAGTTCACAGTGCGTGCGTGGTCTACGCTGCAGATAGTGAGTGATTTTGTTTCTGTGTTCGAAATTTTTGATACCATCATGGAAAGAGATAAAGCAGTGGTATCAAAAATTTCGAACACAGAAACAAAATCACTCACTATCTGCAGCATAGACCACGCACGCACTGTGAACTGTCAACAACTGCCGAAAATTTCCCGGGTTTTTTAGGGGTGGCTGACCGACGGTTGATTCTTTCCCCGTGGACTTTGAACCCTTATGCCCGTAGTCGGACGATGACGGCTTGACAGTGTTTCCAAATCAATTAGGTTTTACCATGATTAGTTTCAAAAGAACTGTTCATTAATAATTTAGAGAGTGTTCCCGGCAAAAGAAAATAGTCATTAAAAACGGTAGGGGGTCCAGATATTTTTTTTACAAACAGTGTTGTAACTTTTGAAATACTTGACGGAAAGTTTTGATTTTGGTCTCAATCGATAGAAATTGAATTGATCTTTCAAATGAGACCAAGATCAAGCCTCTAGCTATCTTGGTTTTTGAGTTATGGAACCAGTCTCGGTACTTTTTGGACAGCCTATGTAGAATGATTTTCTTATGTATAAAATGTTCATCATCCTTTTGAAGCTTAGAGTGTCTGCTACAAAAGCAGACAGAAAAAAAGTCAAAATTTTGAACTTGGGACATATCTTAATTAAAGACAAATGAAATGGTTTTATCCGAAGCGAATTTTTTATTACTTATTTAAAAAAAAAACAAACAACTAAGGTATCATATACATGAACATAAAAGAAAAGAAATACAGATTAGACCATTATACCTTCAGTCTGAACGAAACTAACTGAGGTAAATACTTGAAAAAAACAATTTTTTAAGTGTAATACATACAAGAGTTAAATTTATACAAATTTCTTTGCAAAACATGACCTGAGTATTGTGTATCGAACTATGCCATAAGACAAATTAGGAATAGACTGGAACATATTTGAAAAACTTAATTATCAGTTTATTTTCAGAGGAGAAGAGCACTGCACATTAGTAAGGGCTTACTGGCTCTCTGTTTATTTTGAGGGGAATTTAAGAAGTTATGATGAAGTTCATCACTAGTAAAAAAAATTAGGGGATTTGGTCAGGTAGGAGCTAAGATATGGGTGACAGAATGTGCCTATTAAAAAGAGAGAGGGAAGGCTGAACCAGGAAGTATGGCAGGAAAGATGAGGATTGAGAGTAACATCCATTGTATTGTGGTGCTTTTCATTTACAAGTGAGGAAACAGACGAGCTTCTCGCAGCACCGCTCGTCAAATCTCAAGTAGAATCAATTCAACAGATACAAGGGAAGAAAAGAGTACGGTGCTTATACCAGTCAAGCTCACAAACACCTAACTGCGTTTGAGATTGTTCAACTGCAAATATCTTGGCCCCTATCCACCGAAATCGCCTAATATTTGGGTTGGGATTTGGTCTGTTGACAAAGTTCAAAAGAACTTAATAAAATTTCATCAAAGTTTGCCATAAGCCAGTGAACTCCCACTTGTGTGGAGGGTCCTTAAAACATTTTTGAGAGACTAAGTTCTTAAAAATTTTATAAAACAAGAGGGTACAATGTGAAGAATTCTTCTAATGCACACTGATTCAATTAATGTAAGAAAGGCCCCCACAGGGATTGCTCATTTGCTGATGTGGGTAAAAATTGGAAAACATCTGTTCACAAAACAGCATTATTTCTGCAGCAGTATATCAAAACACGGACAGACCATGTAGTTTTCTTTCTATTTATCAGGATTAGGATTTATGGTTTGAAAATATGAAATCTGTGTCTTTTGGTAAAACGTGAAAGGAAAAATTAGTTTACAAAATAAGATAGAGGAACAAGACGGTGATGACACCTAGTTGGTTCGCATGAAAAAAGTCCTATCGCAAAGATACATTGCTCAGACGATCTTGCGAACGTTTAACACAAATTATTGCATTGAACCAAGTGATTAAACATTTGCAGCGTTTAGGAAATTGTGATTCTCCTTCACCTCCACCTGAAAAATGCAATTTTCATCAATTATAAAATAAAATAATAAAAAAAAGGGAGACAAGATATGGCACTTTCTATTGATGATTTTCTACACTCATTGTTAGCGAGTTTTAATACTTCATGTAATAATGATAAAAAAGAACTGCGATCCTATTCAGGTTGTATTTGGACTTTATTTTTCAATTTGGAACTACAACATATGGCTCAGTTAAGAAACAATGTAAGCACCATTAGTTTCCCTATGCACATAAGTTTTTTTTACGGTTGAGGTAGAAATGTAGTCCACTTATTACTTGCCTACTGTTGCCGAAACTTTTCGGATGACCAGCACCCATCTACGGGGCATTAAAGTACAGATGGTTTACGACAACTAACTACATCATGCTAAATTATAACATAAACCAAAGACGTAAAAATGAGTAAAACAATGCAATAAGTAAATAATAATCAGATTATTATCAGTGAGGATAAGAGAAATTTCCATGCATGCAAGTGAACCTAAAAATTTCTTTCAATCCTGGAATTGGATTACATTTTGCAAAAAGGAACCACTATCTCTGGTTCTCCCATAAAAGCAAACATCTATACAGGGGAACTAATGGCATGTATGTTGTTTCTAAAATGGACCAAAAATAAAGGGTTCCTTATTGCAAAATGTTATCCAATTAAGGGTGCAGAAAATGCTCGAGTGTTGAGGAATTTGGGAGCTTGTGAAGGAATTTTTCAATAAAGAAGCAAGGTATTTTTCTTTTCTTTTTTTTTCCGTGGCAAAACTTAAGAAAAAAACAGAAAGGTGCAATGACTTTTGAAATTTCTTTGCTCCACACATGCCTTTGATATTTTTGTTGAGTGAGCAAATTTTTATAAGAGCATATATTTTAAGGCTGAGATTGTGGCTACTGTCCATCCCGATGAACTTTTCCCACCCTTCCTTGCAGGCTAATCGTTGAAACTGGTGGACAAAACCATAGACAAAGAAGACATGGAGAGTGTCGAGCTATTGGCTAAAATGGGTGGTTCCTACAGACTATGGGAGAAAATGATGAACTAACTATTGGGTCTCCCGTGGGATGTCCTTAGTCTATTACCTACATTCCCTGTTCATTGCAACCACCCGCTTCCAGCTTCCACCAATAGGATCCCTCCATATCCCTATTGTCTCCTTTGTCTAACATTTTGTCTATCAATTTCATCAATCAGTCCACTGGTGAAATGAATTTTTACTCACAAAAAGAGGACAGAAGAGCAACTTACAATGTTTGATGTGGATGAATTTGAAGATGCATGCAATCTCGTCCATTCCATCGCCTTCTTATTGAATTCTGGCAGGTTATATTTGTACTCTTCCGCCTGGAATGAGAGGAGAAAAAAAAAGCTTGCAAATTCTGATAATATACGAAAATTGGGGTGATTTGTCCTGACGCAAACCTAAGCATCCTGGGAACACTTTTTCCACCTAGTGTGAGTGGAATTACTTACAGAGAGATGCACCAGGCAAGTGAGAGAGTCTTGCTCTATATTCAGGTTAATTGTGATCCCAGGGTGTAAAAAATCTGCATCTTGACTTTTCATTGCACAATCAGAAAGTTGAAATTCTTGAGAGGATAGTTTGACAAGAAAGTAAAATACAAGCTTGTGAAATTAACATCATTAATAACTGTTGCCCAAACAGATATCGATGATTCACTTGGAGGTAAAACATAATATTTGCATCCCTGCAATCTAGTTAAATGTGGCTGTATTTCAAATCTATTCTCACACCATGCAGTTCTGAGAATATTTTTGAGGACATTACGAAATTGTTATTTAAAAGTTTGCGATTTCTAATCATTTAACAGATCCCAGTTTTTGACTTCAACCTATCATCCAAAGCTTTTTGTCGAGCAAAGATTCCCTCAGATTTATAGGTTCCCCACAATCTTTAAAAAAAATAATCCGTCTGAAGAGCTTGACAGCTCCATTGCCTGCAAAAAATGTTGTTGATTTAAAAACCCTGTATCTTGGGCTCAGTGTTGAATATCATAATCAATTTTTTAGCATGTGTACATCGATGGCAAAAGTGCAAAACCACGTACCTCCATTACGGTGTTTCAAGATTGACCCTCCTATTTTGTTTTATCAAAGAGAAGCAAATCAATTTTAAAGATTGAAATTTATACAGCATATTCTACCACCCAAGGAGAAAACCAAGAAATCTGCAACATCTCAAACGGAGATACATGCTTTTACACTTTAGTCTTCAATATGTGGATCTCTTATTAAGTGTGTCAAGAATGCAAATAGCTGGATGTTTCAAAAATTGTTAGTTATGTTTCTTTGACTCCTAACTACAGATATCTTATCTTACCATCACTGAAAACCGTTCTTTTAGAAGACAAAAATCAGGATCAGCTAAAGGACTGCAAAAAGAGGCTGACTCAATGACATGTGCCTGGTTAAATGGATTGCATTTTGCAAAAAGGAACCAAAAGCATTCCAATGTTGCTAGGATTGTGCAACTTAAGTAAATTCTTTGCAAAAAATTACATACTGAAATCATGAAAATAATTAAATTTACAAAGGTAATTTTCGTCGCGAATTCATAGTTTTTCAGGAGTTAAGATAAAATTTGTTTAGATGATCTCTTCATATTTGCAAGGTAAAAAAGTTGCACAATCTTAGCGACATTGGAATGCTCCTGGTTTCTTTTTGCAAAATGCAATTCAAATGTGAGAGATGCAATAAAAACAAATGACTTATTCATGCAAATCACCTCTTTGCTGTATGAATTGCATTTTGCAAAAAGGAATCAAGAGCATTCCAATGTAGCTAAGAGAGTGCAACCTTCATTCTTAAAAATAAAATTTTTGAAATCATGCAAAAAATTAAATTTACAATGGTAAATTTCGTCTTGAATTTATAGATTAATTGGGAGTAAAAATGAAACTTGTTCAGATGATCGGTTGATACTTGCAAGGTAAAAAAATTTGCACAATCTTAGGGACATTGGAATGCTCTTGGTTCCTTTTTGCAAAATATAATCCATATAATCTGGACAAGAAATTATTCTTAATTATGCACTTACGATGTTGACCATTAGAGGGTCCTCAGGGTTTGGATTGGTCATCAAACTCTGCAAAGCGATTAGAAGTCCTTCGAGGGTTATGGTTGGCTTCCAACTGCCTTTTGGTGGCATCTTGAGCAGGTCCAAACAGATACGACCAGCGGTATCTACGTTTGGATGATAGATTGGTGTTACAAAATTCATCCGAGGAGGTTCAAAGGGATATCTGTAACACAATTTGAAATTTTAATCACTAAGAATAAGGCTGACATGATCAATGGTCTTATCAGAAAAACTGATAGTTTAAAGTACAAACATTGCAAAATACCTGTTATTTTTTTGGAGAGAAATTATAAAACAAGGTGTAAGTATTGCATAAATTGAGGGGCTTGGAGTGCAAGGCGCATAAGTGCAGTTTTTGCTATTTCAAGAAATACATGTTTGAAGTTCCCAAATTACATGGATTCTCATGGCGGAAAGAAAATTTTACTGACTTTTTGATGCTTAAAAATTGGAATTTGGGAACAAATTTTTCACCAAATATGTATTAAGACTAGTTCTACTGGAGCTCGTTATTACCTCGATTTTTTCATAAACTGCACTTAAGCGCCTTGTGTTCAAGCCTCTCAATTAGAAAAATGTAGAATCTCATGCCACAGTAGAATATCTGAGAAAACCTTTGGAAGTCCTGTTTATTTACTTCGAAATTTTAGATAAATAAAATTGTAATTCTAATTTATTTTTCCCAATTGACATCTGTTCTTCCAAATTGAGGGTTCAGAATTTTGGAACTTACTCTGCGGATCTTACAGAAATTAACCAGAAAATTATTTGCCTCAGAGTTGCTGAAATGTTGCTTGTCAGCACCTATACAAACAGCTGATAGAAAATTCATTTTAACTGGAGAAGTGCTTATTTCTCTCTCCGGTCAAAAATTGATTTACTTTTTGAAACAATGTCAATCATACAGTCAAATAGGCCACTGAAATCTGGCTTGATCAACTGATTTAATGGTCTCTTCATACACCAATTAAATCCTCTTTTGATCGGCCGTTTGAATTGCCTTTCCAAAGACCTGTCAATAGATGGCTCAAATTGTCTATCCATCAAACTAGACAGAAGCATTCAAAGTTGTGTTACTTAAGTTTAAAGTGAGAAAAAAAGGATTGAAGTTTCGTCTTCCATAAGACTTGGTGCTGTGGACTAAGTTCAACGATTATTTTCACGCTCTAAATATTTTTTCCAGACTCTAAAAATTTGTAGGTACTTAGTTGAATTCAAAACTACTCCCAACTTATTTTATCCAAAATGTGACTTGATTGTTCCTGTTGAACTCTATCTGAATAAAATAAGAATACCTCAAAAAACTGGATGTTAAACTCACTTATCTGAAAGATGCAATTCGACATGAAACACTCCATTCTCATACGGCGATCCAGCAGCTCCGATGATGGCTGTGAGAAAAAAAAATTGATTTTTCAATTAATTGAGATGCAAACTTACAATGTTTTGACAGAATGGAATTTATTCTTCCACCAATACCAGCAACTTTTCACATTGAATGTTACAAGTGCTGGTTGGCACAATTCACTCTACTTAAATGGAGAATACCTTTCAACACAGGGCGAGATTTTGCGGCCATCTAGTGACTACTAAACCTTAATCCAGCAGTCAGATTTTTGAAACTTTAGCTGGCTATGTCAGCACGATAAGACAAAATAGCCCTATCTGCACCGTGTAAAATATCAATTTTCGATTCTTGTCCAGCCGACATAAATTTCAACAATTGGGCTACTGGCAAGAGAATAGTCATATCTGAAGCAAATATGATGAAAGGTTGCAGAGCAGCTTTTCGCGCTTTGGTTGATGGATATCCGTTAGCCAAGCAGCTCCTCAACAGATACTAGCTCGTAGTGAATCTACTTGCAGCAGCTTTTGAAAGTTCTACACAGAGTCACTCCCGAGACACTTGTTTTCCTTTGAAAAGCCAAAACTTTGATCGATTTTCAATTAAATTATGATTGTGGGAGTTCACAGGATGCCCCCATCATAAAACTAACAGGAATGAATAAGATAAATAACATAAAATATGCTTCAAGGCTGTAAGGTTTCCCGCACAACAGCTTGGTAGTACATGCAGCACGCTACTGAATACCTCTATGGTCTACTCGAATAACATAATTCAGTGTCTCATGCTACACCATTAATAGACTCAAATCTCCGGGGATAATTCTATTTAAGAGTTGCTTATTGCGACTAGAATTAGAAAAGATGCGACAGCTTGATGTCATTCCATGGATTGCAGGTGTAAATTACAACCTGCCCAAAGTAAGAGTTCTTAGTTGGCTTATGTGATGGTGATACAGTATGAAAGCTGATAACTCACAGATTTCTAGAACTTTGAAGTTGTCATCTTTTGTCACGCAAGTTATGCCAGGCGGAGGTGTTTCAGCTAGTTTCTTGTATTCTCGTTGAATTCTAACTTTCGACATGTTGATTTGTTGACAAATTTGGAAGGATTTCTAGAAGTAACAGTGCAAATCAATAAGACCTTAATATTACGATTGTGCTGCCGATTACGCCACGATACTTAAGAAAACTCTGTTGCTTGACGGAAGAACCAAGAAGAGAAAACAGATTACAGAACTAACAGAAGCGATTTGTGATTTTAACCATTTTAACCTATATTGAAATGATAACAATTTACTTTCAATTCCCGCCAAAACATATTGATAGCGACCAATCAGAGAACTTGGTTCAGTCCTCTCTTACCAGAAGAGGACCGAACCGGAAATGAATTTTTGTTCACATTCAAATGGCGGGTATTTTGAATTTCTTCTTGAAATACTTACTGACGATTGAATTGCCTGATAAAATGTTACAAGATAATGGAGGTTTCAAGTTGCATCAGGTGAAATAAAAACTTTAGATGGTTTAATCCTGACCATAGAAACATGTTTTTAAGTTTCAATGAGATGCTTTACACAGTATTTTAAGTTTTAAGGTTATAATTGCAAGAGATTTGGCGATAAATTGATCATGATCATACGATTTAAAATCAGTGAAGAGGGAAGCTCATTTTTGCATCCCAATTTTCAGAATCCCAAGTCAAGTGGGAGCCATACAGTGGGAGTCATTGAGTGCATTTAGAGGGAAATATTGGGGGGAATAAATGAACCGAGAAAAAGTTGTTTGAAATGAGAAGGCAGTTATTTCAACATTTTTTAGTTTATTGCTGTAAAAAACCAAAATGTGTACATACAATAACAGAACGCATTTATTTTTGTATATTATCTCCAAAAATAAAAATAAAAAACATTGAAAAGAAAGTCATGCAAACAAGTGATGCTGCTTCACAGGAAAAAGGAATAATTAGTACCGATATCAATGAGAGTAATTAGGAAAAACAGGGGGCAGTAAGTATTTAAAATATGATTCATCATAAATTAATTAAATCAACATTCCTTATCGGTTCATTCCAAATAAAATAAAAAATAGAAACTGAAAATTATTATAACGACCGCAATATCGCTACACAACTACTATCAATGGAGAGTGCTCATTGTAGAACAGCACATTTCAGTTTTTTCAAAGATAATTTTTCAAGGGATGGGACAACAGGTCACTTAAAAAAATAAACGTCTGTTTGCGAAGAAAGAAATAATAATTGAGGTGGCTCGATTTTTCCAAATTGTAAAGTGTATTTTTTGACAAAGAGTATTCTATAACTGGCATTTCATGAATTTAAAGTGAAGGGAAGTCGAATTTCAGATGCTTTTGAAAAATTTTCGAAAATGACATTGACCATTAAAAGTACGATTTCCATTCAGACTCTAGAAATTTTCAAAAAGTTTAGAAAAGAAAATTGCTGCCAATCTGTCTAAGTGCTGGCATACAGGGAAAACAGTGAGGGGAAATGGTTTTTACCTTAGTCTATCCGCCACTTCAAGCCTGCCTTGCTCTGAAAGTGAAAGGAATAGGTTTCAAGTTAGAGTATATAGATCGTGAAACTCCCAAATTACGTACTTGGATTTGTAAAGTTGCAGACTTCCTGTCATACTTTATTTTTTAAATAGAATACTACTCAACATCAATTCTAGCAAACTCCCTTGACTTTTCTTTTCTGAAAATTTTGAAAGAGCTTCAAGGAAAGGTATTGATTTGTTCTTCTTTGAAAAATTAAAATAGACATAGAGAGTTATGAACATTGCAAACAAGGTACATTATTTGGGGCTTTCACCATCAATATTTCAAAGTAGCAGCACGGATTCTCTCTGACCAATTTATTCCCCCTTGTTTTTTTTTAAGTTTTGTTACGGTTAGAGTTTTCTGTAATACTTAAGTAGCCAGCAAACTGTGACCTCAGCGTCAAAATTCAGGCCAACCTCTGCATGAATAAGAACAAGTCATAACTGAACGAAAATATGGGGTCGGAAAAAAATAACACAGCATTTACGCAAGTTCCATTTCGTCAGCCTGAACAGTGAGGAGATCATCGTATTGAACTGGTGAAGATCGGGATAGAGCGGAAGTTAAAGGTGGTGTCTCATCATTTGCTGGAGATGGTGGAGGATTGAGACTTTCCATGACCGGAGAAGGAGGAGGGCTTGGAACATCTCTTTCTTCATGCGACAAATGCTTCAGAGATAAATCAGCTTTCAAAAGATTAGGCAACTCTTTGTGGAGATTGTCTGAAAAGGCAGAAATATAATGATGATTCACAACTAATAAATGTAGATGTACATTTTGAAAATGCAGAGTTAAGGTTGACCACAAAGTGATTGCCTAAAAAGAACTTCACTAAGTGAAAAGAACAGTAAGAAACGCTGGGAATCAAATGTATAATATCAATAAAAGAAACAAAAACACAATGGACAAGATAGAGAGAGGATCATTCTATGTTCTTTTACTTTATGTTTATAGAAATTTCTGAACTCTGGATTTTATTCATTCCATCCCCTGATATTTTTCTCATCTTTCCTGATTTCCGAGAGAATATTCTTCAATAAAAACCAAGGATTTCCACTAATTTTCTGAGGGATTCTGGTTGAAAGCAAGATATTCACCTAAAAGTTTGCAGAAAAATTTAACATTTTCATTTTCTGCCTACTTCATTAAAGCCCAGTTCATACAGGTAACTTACAATAAAAATAGTTTGATCTTAGAACTGGGCACAAAATAAAAATGTGATTTTTGGCACTAGTACCCTGACAAATTCCCAAATTTTCATGGATATATTTCATTCCCTGATAAAAAGCCTAGTATTTTCTGGTTTTGTCAAGTCCTGGACTCTACGTTTGATTAAATATCACAACACTTTAAAGGGGATAAGATCATGAGAAAAGAATTTAAACATCAAAGCTTCTCATACTTTCATGATTTGCCACCATCCTGAAATTTTAGCCATAACAAGTAAATTTCGATGGTCGAAGAGCAAAATCGGATGCTTCAGTTTGCGACATTGCAGACTTTTTTTTAACATTAAGAACTATAAAATGTGAAGTACTATTCTTTATTTTTTATTTTCTGACAATAGAATAAAACAAAATGAAATGAGCTATTTACTGACCATTTAACTTCTGTTGATCAATTTTCGCTTGGTCCTCACACTTTTTGTCAACAGCTTTCCTATTTTGCACTTTCAGTTTCTTCCTCTTTCTCGATTGATGACATCTATCATCAGAGAACAAAATTTTGTTTTCCTCTGGTGAGCAAGACAATTTCACCAAAAAGAAATACACACCCCCTGGAGTTCTGCGTCGCGTTTGATTCTATGGGAAAAAACAGAATTAATTAAATACCAAAAAAAAAGAGAGAGGCAAAGGAGTAACTCAAAATCAAATAAAATACTGGAACAGCCAATCAATGTAACACACAACTTTAGGAGAGGGAAAATAACAATTACTCACAGAGAAAATACCGAAGAAGGCAGGTGGAGACTCTGCCAAAACAATTTAAGTTTTAAAAAGGTAAAGAAAATTTCAGTTTTATTAATAATTGAGACGGTTGAAGTATTTTAATTCATATTCTCTCTGTTTTATATGGTTAACATCTCAGTATGTCTCATCAAAAATAAATGCTTGGCATCTCTTCAGAAATAGTTGTAATAACTTTTCGTAATTGTTGGCTCAAAACCCTAATGGGCCTCTATCACCTAACATTTTTTGTTTACTTCATTGACACTTCTGTTTGCATTAGAAGTAAAATTAATCAAGAGTGGCGGTAGCTACCCCCGGTCGAGAAAAATGACGTCCTACTAAAGTCCTGATATCTTAGACACACGTAACTCCCTTAATCTGAAATATTATACCTACAAATACTTTCAGGTTTTTGATAAGAGAAGTATCGCTCTATTCGTTAATCAATCAACCCTGATAACAACTAAGAGGGTAGTCTATTTTGCTTGTAAAAAATATTCCATTTTCAAAAAATTTGATACCAGTCCTCTTACAGCAACAGTTACTTCTGATCATTAAAAGTAACCTAAGGGTTAGACATTTCGTCTATGGCTGAAGTTTCAGTTAGTTATCTCGAAACAAATTAGGTTACGGGCAATAGGAGACACTTTCCTTTTTTAGTAAAAAATTAAGAGTCATACATTCAAAAAAATTCGAACACTATGGGCTTAAGAGTGAATATAATGGTGCCCACCTGCATCCTCTGTAAGCAGTAGAGAATAGATGGGTTTCAGAGTACCCTCTCAACTCAGGGGACTCTAATTTAGATATTTAAAAATCTGTAAAGAATAAATTGTAGCTGCCCAATTCTGCCGTAACTAGCAATGATGAGCTTCTTTTTTTTCTGCAAACACATCATGGAACCACATTTTAGAGGTTCAATTCTTTGTTTAATGCCACAAAATGTGTTTACATAAAATATCACAAATGAATCCAAATTCTTTGAGACTTACTTTAATCTGCATGCCACCTTCTTCTTCAATATTTTGCGTTTCATGAAAAAATTTGATTGCTCTTTCTTTGCCTATGACATTTACTACCTTTCCTGCATAAGAAAAATAAACAAAATCGTCATTACTACTAACAAAGATGTGATTGCGTTAAGAGTCTTTATTAGCCTCCCTTGGATTTAGCTTGAAGTTTTGTATTTTAAACTACTATTCCTAGGAAGATTCTATGATAAGTATTTTGCAAATCAGAGGGTACACATGTGTGCAGCAGCGTTTCACAACTAAAGTTTTAGCAATGAGAAATAATTATCTTCAACAACTTTTTCGACTTTCAAAACTCTTACAAAGGACTAACTGTCTATAAATTTTTAAGTACCTTTTACGTGAACTTTAAGATAGCCTCCTCTGGATTTAGAGAGAAGGCATTGTTGCTATTTCCATCGATTTTTATGAGTCCATTTATTAGTTTTACCTATGTTGATCTTAGTTTGAACAGAAAATCATGTGCAGTTGTTAAAAGAGGATAAAAAAGTAAAGTGTGATAAGTTGTTTAAACTTTTTCTTACTCCGCAGACTCTCTTGGAAAAATTGTTTTCAAGTGCTAAAAATCTGTTAAATCAGTTCAACAGATATTTAACAAAGTTGGATATGTCACAGGCAATTAGTAAATTCAGGCGTTTGGTCAAATGCCTCAGCAAATGATCAAATATTCTCATCCAGATTGAGATTCTGATATTTCTGCTGATTTTGGACACAATAATAATTCCTCTGCATTGATAGGAATTAGTTTCAAAATTGCATCATTCTATGATTGCTACAATGATTAATAATCTGAAGTGAATGGCCGATAGATGCCACAATTTTGATAATACTGAGTTTTCAAAATTTTGCTGACGGTTAAAAAATAAAACTAGTGTTTTGAAGAGGCAAATGCAATAATAGTTGGACTTCATTCGGCATTCAGGAACTACAATTACTGGCTCAGTTTAGAAACAACGTACGTACCATTAGTTTGCCTATACACTTATGTGCTTTTTCGGATGAGTCAGAAACTGAGGTTCCTAATTGCAAAATATAATCCAGCTCATGAATTAAAAAAATTTTACCTCGAAAACATTTAAAATTAGAAAGCTCTTTGTGTCAACAGACGAAACTTCGCTTACACTTGCAAAATATGCCTATCTGCCTAGTCATTTGATAAAATGCTTGATTTTACTATTTGCCTGCAATGGATACATGTATTTATTTGAACTGTTCCCAACTTCCATCCATCCGTACAGCAAATAAAGATAGTATTTTTCCTTCAGAGAATACACTAAAAATAGCAGTTGCACCTGAATTTGTTAAATGCAATAGCAGAGCTTGAAATTGTATTTAGTAGCTTTTATCATATTGTAATATTCCACAGACAACAGCTTTGATCACAGAGAATAGGAATTACGCAGCGATACTTACGAACAAGTTCATCTTTGGTTTCAAACAATTTATTAGCTAGGTCTTGGGCGAGGTCCTCCTCTGAATCATTGGCTGTTTTGGCCAAATCAGGCAGGTACCTAGGTACTATATTTAAGTCTTCATCCTCATAGTAGTTCCCTCTCCTGGACAGGTCCTTCTTCCGCTTTATTGCTTTCCTTTTCCTTTCGTTATTCGGTACTGTTTCCAACAATTCTGAAGCAATTATCCTGAAATCCAAGAAAACAAGGAAGATGGTGAATGACAAATAAAACTTGGTGCAAAGAATTCTTACGATGTTAAATTTTTAAAGTGGTGAGGCAGACTTCGGTGAACATAGAGCTTTAAAGCTCAACGATTGATTTTTACTCCATGAAAATTGATAGCCGAGCTCTGATTGCTCCTGGCAAAATAAAGCTGCTGACCAGATATTAGGTATTAAAGATACGGGCTCTTCTGACAGAGCAATTAGATTAAAGTGTGCTGCATAGAATGTCAAATTCGTAACAGAACGATTTTGTTTTGTTTTTGGGGAGTTGAAGCACTTTGGAAAACTGTGTGAATTTCAAGCCAGCGGCTACTTTTCACCTTCTTGCAAGGTTGCAGAGTTCTGAGCAAGGAGTTAATTTTCAGTGAGGACATCTTAATTATCACTTTATACTTCAAGCTCCTTGAAAATAAGGAGAGTTGGAAGCTCTTTAAAAGTTCTTGTATACTTGAAAGAAATTTTTCTGCATCTGTCCAGAAATTCAGATTAGGAATCCAGTACAGACTAAAATTTATTTGGATTTCTATGACTATGAAGTATTCTAAGTTTGGGGAATTTCATAACGTAAGTGATAAAATGATTTTTACTGAAAAGCAAAGGAGGCTAAGGATAGGGAGAAAAAATCCATCTCAGAAAGTCAATCCTTCTTTTTAAAAAAAACTGATTCACCTCTACGTTCAGCATCGAACAACTGATTTACTTGAGAATCAATTCCCTTAATCTTAAAACTGAAGGATGGAAATCTCCAAAATTACAGATTGCTGATTGCAAGAGCTAATTCTTTCAAAATTAGGTAGGTAGGAAACAATTTTAAAAAAATATATTTAATCATTTCCTGGAAAAACAATTCCAATTTTAGGGGACCTCAAAAATTGATACAATTTTTCTGATTGTTAATGCCAAAAAACCTGCATGTTAAAAAAATCATATTGAAATCCTCATCCCTAAAGGTGACTGGACATACCTATTTGTGTACAACTCACCTCAGATTTTCCTCAGTTTTTTCAATGTCCGATTCCTCGTTCGGAAAATCTTCTGTTGACTGCGCTTCTGAACTTACAAAGTAGGACTCGACAGCACGGCTGCGATCAACATTTTGAACATCACACTTGTTGAACTCTTCTAAAACGGCCTGTTCCTGGAGACTGGTTGACCAGATGTCATACTTTTTCCTCGGCCTGCTTGAAGCCGCATGACCATTTTGTGCATCCATGCGGCGGGGCTGGGGAGCTGGTCTGGGTCTTTTCAGAGGTAAATCACAATCGCTGTCATCTGAACTTTTGCGCATGAGATTTATCTTGTCGTCATCATCATCATCATCCTCTATCTCCCCGTCGCTCAATTCTCTGGGCGCTGAACTTATCGACCCTACGTCATGTGAGGGACGTGGGAGGGGTGTGTATTCTGGACAGGTCTAAAAGACAAAGATAAGAATTTGTCAGAGAAGGTACAGCTTTACTTGATATGAAATATCTCTAATGAGATACTGATTCTAGGAATTCCAGATGGCTGAGTTGAAAAACTGAGATAGAGTGGCATTAACGAAGTATTTTGAAAATAGTTGCAGGATGTCCTGAATGTGTCGGCGTTGAGCAGATATAACTTTTGTCAATCTGCAGCCATCTAAATACTAAGGATTACTCTACTGATATGTGACAAGGACATCATTCAGCCTTAGTGATTGTGGGCTAGTTGATCCTTGCATATCCCCTCGGACCAATCATTCACTTTACACTGATTTTCCAGCCAGTAACAATAAAAAGGTAGAGCCATGCCAAATAAGTTTACGCACTTCTAGACTGCAACAGAAAATTGTCTGACATCACTTTAAAATGTAGGGCAAATGAAAGAATCAAGATAGCATATCTTCTGTCGCAGTCTCTAGGTGCATAACTTGTTCAGCATGGACTCTGCGTGGTTGAAGGAAACCACCGCTCACGCCATCCATAAAAGCCATACCAGCTTGATGAGCCTGGTCAACCTTTCTTACATTGTTGAGGAGATCAAGAAAAATCCCTGTGATTGGAATGCTTCGGTACAATACCAAAAGCCACGAGGGATGAAAAAGGGTAGCCCTCTTTGATCCTGATAAAAAAAAAAAATTTAGCGCATACTCAGGAGAGGATTCAAGTATAAAAAAAAACATGATACTCACACTTAAAGCTTCAAGTTCCGACTTTCCACAATTCATTTTAATACTGAAGATGGTGCAAATCCATTTAAAGAGTAAAATCCGGTGGAAGTATATACTATGTACTTCCTAAAATCGTTGAGAAGCGATTTAGGAATTTAGGATTTAAGACGGAATAACCTCAAAACCTCTTATCATTAGACTGAAAACCACAGTAATCACCTATCACTCTGATTGGCCACGAAGGGAGTGGGAAAACCAATCGGTGGAGTTCCCGGCGCGGGCATCATCATTCAAATTATTGGCGGGAAAAATACGTTGCGTCGATATGCCGATACGTGACAGATTAGATATACATGAGAGAGAGGAAAAAAAAAAACGATCGCAAGGAAAGTTGATTAGACCACCATAGACTTAAAAAACACTCGAACCCCATAATTTTTTACTCTGCACGGTATGTGGGATCAGGAGTTGCATCCAAGAAAAAAAGGAAAAAAGAAATAGGTAAGTTGGTTAAAGTAAAAAATTTAGGGGGATTAAAGATAGGTTTACTTCCAATTTTGAAAAATATAAAAAATTGACTAAAACAGAAAAAACGAATTTACTCGAAGCTATTCAATGAGAATCATTTCATATTAATTGTGTCCCTCAAAAAAAATTCTAAAATTATTGAAGTTTTGGGATCATAATGGAAATAATCATTTTGGGATTTAGGTGCTTATGTTCTTGAAAGAAAGCTGAGATCAAATAGGAAAAATTCCCTCATCTTCTGGACAGGGCCGGATTAGGGTGGCCACGTGGGCCGTAGCCTATCCATGGCGGCAAATTTAGGGGGCGACAAATTTTGCAATTTTTTTAAATGTAGGTATACAAAAAATCGGATTCAGAAAAAAAAATTATCAATGAGCAAAGGGGACAAAATCTCTCTTTCCTGAGAGTAAAGTAATTTCTAATTTTGTCGTTTTTCGGTGATTCAATAGACAGCATCTTTAATTAGTCGAGCTAAGAGAGGAACTAAACACGCAATTTGGCCTGGAGCTTAGCGCAGAGAGGAATGATGACGAAGACTTGAAATGAAAAGGACAACCCCTCGGCGCACGGCAGTCGGCATGTAACACATATTAGCGCCTACAAGACTGCATGAATACTTCACGCATTGCGCCAAACACAGTGCGGTCAGGAGCGAGCGCAGCGGTTGGCGTGAAACGCATAGCGCCTACAAGACTGCAGGAATACTTTACGCATTGCGCCAAAGAGTGCGATCAGCGCGGCGCAGCGGCGGAAGTTAAAATTATTATACCACATTCATGTTTCTTCTTTCATAATTTTTTGGTTCATTCATATAAATGGAGGACCTTGTCCACACAGAAATAGGCTTACGGAATTTAACTTTCGCGCGAAGTTCCGTGAAATTTTGCTAGTAGTGTTGACAGGGCTTTCGCAAAAAATGTATCCAACACGAGTAGGTAAACGCGTCTTATGTACCCCTCCCTGTCCGGCACGTTCACTTGATGGTTTTTATTGATGTTTCAAAACGAATGAGAAGGGGGCGGCAAAATACAGGCGGCCCATGGGCGGCAAATAGGTAAATCCGGCCCTGCTTCTGGAAACCGCGTAATGATACTGGCTTTTAATATTCTTTGGTCTTACACTGAAAAAAAATTCTCGGCGTTTTTACAACGGTCCGTTGGTACCTTTACCATCTCACTTTTTTTTTACCAATTATTGGTAATTTTACAGAGACAGACTGGTAAGCTTACCTAAAAACCGGTATTTTTACTGTTTTTTTTCAGGAAGGAATACCACTTTTATTGGTAATCGATTCCCGGTAACTTTGCCATTTTATCTCGGTAATTCTACCACAGTCGATAAAAAATATGGGCTTTTTTACCAAGGTCCAGTAAAATTACCGAGAAAGTTCAATAATTTTACCGAGATTTCTCGATAAAATTACCAATTCCATAAATGGTACCTAATTTTATCAAGAAAAAACTGGGATCAAATGAACTGAGTTAAGCAGAAAGGAACCAACCCACATTTTGGTAAAAAATGAGTTATGAGTGGTTTTGAACTTAACCACTGCTCTACTATCCATCGCCAAAAATTCAAAGTTTTTGTTGGAGCAAATTTTGCAGAAATTGAACTTGAAGTTTATCTTTTACATTGAGTCTTATGCAGGAGCCAAACTTTAAACCTCTTTTTCTCGGTTCGATCCCGATGTGGCTTGGTTCCTTTCTGTTTAACTCCGTCCAAATAGAACCCTGAATTCTTGGTAATTTTACCCTTTTCTTAGTAAACACACCGAGATTTTTTTTTTCAGTGTATCACCTGATCCTAAAGCTGTAACACACGCTTGCTGAACTTTGGCCACGACCAAAGCTTTTTCAGCTCCCATAACATAATCAGGTATTGATTATTTTAATCGCATTAAATTGCTTATAATAGTAGTCCCCGTTCTGACTGCTTTCCCTTCAAAACTCGAGTAGACAATGTGAGTAGGAGCAGTAATAAATTGCTTGCTGAAGTGTCTCCACCATTTCAACCGTGAATCACTTATTGAATGCTTAAGGCAGCGACCCGCGTTCTGACCAATTCGCCTTCGAAACTGGAGAGGGCAATTTGAGCGGCTTTGGAGCAGTAATAGTTGCTCGCTGTAGTTTCACCACGTACAAAACGTTCATGCGGTGAAACTTCCGAACCGTATCTCATGTTGCGACGTTGCGGACTTCCTGTCATACATTATCTCTGAAATAAAAAACTAATCCACGTCAACTCCTACAGACTTCCATGATTTTTCCTCTCTGAGCGAATACAATTCTGTGAAAACCGCAAAGAATAATGTTGGTTTATTATCCTTCAAAAAAATAAAATGGGACCGGAGATTTTAAAACAGTGCGAAAGAGGATAGGAACGTGTACGGGTGTTTCACCGTCGTCATTCCGTTACCGTATCATTTGCGCAACTATTTCTTTTAACTTAAGTCTCATTTCAGCAAAAAAATTTTCTGCTTAATTTCACTTTTTTTTTTCTTTTTTTTTTCTTTTTTTTTCTTTTCTGATCACAACTAGGTGAAAACCAGCAAAATTTTGGATGGAAATGGCAATGTCGTCTTTTTTTAAGCTTGAGAAAATGAATTAATATGGTGAAATTTAAAACCTTTAAATATGGAGGGATACATTTCTTCATCTGGAAAATGACTGTTTCATGTGAGGGATTCACAAATGGTTACACATCCGTCACTGAACATCGATGAATATTGTTGGAGACTCAAACGCCAGGATAAGAAAAGTGGTCTCTCAGTGTAGCGCAGGGCTCCCCGACTACGGTGCAATGAGCCAAAGATCCTGGCGCCAATTATATCCTCGGCTAAAATTAGGGCTCAACGCCACGGAGTGTGGCGCCACACTCCTGCAAAATCCTCAAATTTCACTTTTGATTAAAACGCTTGAGTGCTGGTGCAATCTGCCACAAAGTTCACTTGACACAGTTGACTTTCCGCTCATCTTTGACTTTTGTAAAAAACTGCCCAACCAACTTTGATAAACTTTCGAGCGTGCCGCCACACACCAGCGCAAGAAAAAATCCGGGCCCAGCGCCACAGGGCCGAGCGCCACAACTCACGATTGCATATCGCCTGGATTACGGGCGCGCATCGGGTAGCGAGGCCCACGTCACGTCGCATCGGACCTGACCCAACCCAACCTAACCTAACCTGGCCTAACCTAACCTAACCTAACCTAACCTTCGGTGGATTAAGCCCTGTGGCACTGGGCCCGGATTTTTTCATGCGCTAATGTGCGAGGCGGGCCTCGCTACCCGATGCGCTCCAGTAATCTAGGCACGTGCTTTCCGAGCGTGAGCCCGGGAAAGAAAGGCCGGAAGAGAGGTACAAGGCTCATCTTGTTGTGGTCGATACGTTGTTTTGTCGTCTCTCTCTCTCGCACTCATTGGGCAGATGCGGCGCGTCAAAGGAGACCACTCGGCTTTGCCAAGCCGCCCTTGTATCGTCCATCTCTCTCGCACTCATTGATCAGATGCAACATTCCGCGGCTCGTCAAAGGGACACCTGGCGCACACACACACTCGCAAAAATACAGGCTGGGCCTCGTAATTTGGTCCGCAGTAGTGGGGCGCGGGGGAATTCCGTTGCCGGCAAAAGCACCCAAGTGCACTCCGAGCGTGAGCCCGGGAAAGAACGGCCGTAAACGGGGAGCAGGGCTCATCTTGTTGTGATTGATACGCTGTTTTGTCGTCTCTCTCTCTCGCACTCATTGGGCAGATGCGGCGAATCAAAGGAGACCACTCGGCTTTGCCAAGCCGCCCTTGTATCGTCCATCTCTCTGGCACTCATTGATCAGATGTAACATTCCGCGGCTCGTCAAAGGGACACCTGGCGCACGTACAAACTCGCAAAAATACAGGCTGGGCCTCGTAATTTGGTCCGCAGTAGTAGGGCGCGGGGGAATTCCGTTGCCGGCAGAAGCACCCAAGTGCATTCCGAGCGTGAGCCCGGGAAAGAACGGCCGTTAACGGGGAGCAGGACTCATCTTGTTGTGGTCGATACGCTGTTTTGTCGTCTCTCTCTCTCGCACTCATTGGGCAGATGCGGCGCGTCAAAGGAGACCACTCGGCTTTGCCAAGCCCCCCTTGTATCGTCCATCTCTCTCGCACTCATTGATCAGATGTAACATTCCGCGGCTCGTCAAAGGGACACCTGGCGCACACACACACTCGCAAAAATACAGGCTGGGCCTCGTAATTTGGTCCGCAGTAGTAGGGCGCGGGGGAATTCCGTTGCCGGCAGAAGCACCCAAGTGCATTCCGAGCGTGAGCCCGGGAAATAACGGCCGTTAACGGGGAGCAGGGCGTATCTTGTTGTGGTCGATACTCTGTTTCGTCGTCTCTCTCTCTCGCACTCATTGGGCAGATGCGGCGCGTCAAAGGAGACCACTCGGCTTTGCCAAGCCGCCCTTGTAGGCGCTGGCCCCTGTTCTTGCTCCGTAGTGTTCAGGGGATGGCCCCCGGCTTTGCCTCCGTAGTGTTCAGGGGGCTCGCCCCCGTCTTTGGCTTCGTAGTGTCCAGGGGGCTGGCCCCCAGCTGTGGCCCCGTAGTGTTCAGGTGGCTAACCCCTGGCTTTGGCTCATTTGGGTTCAGGGGGCTGGCCCCCGTCTTTGGCTCCGTTGTGTTCAGGGGGCTGGCCCCACGCTTCGGCTTCGTAGTGTTCAGGGGGATGGCCCCCGGCTTTGGTTCCGTAGTATTCAGGGGGCTGGCCCCCGGCTTCGGCTCCGTAGTGTTCAGGGGGCTGGCCCTACGCTTCGGCTCCTTAGTGTTCAGGGGGCTGGCCCCCCGCTTCGGCTCCGCAGTGTTCAGGGAGCTGGCCCCCGGCTTTGGCTCCGTAGTGTTCAGGGGGCTCGCCCCCGTCTTTGGCTCCGTAGTGTTCAGAGGGCTCCCTCCCGGATTTCGATCTGTAGTTTTCAGGGGGTTGGCCAATCCTTTGGCTCCTTAGTGTTCAGGGGCCTGGCTCCCGGTTTAGCTCCGTAGTATTCAGGGGGCTGGACCCCGGTTTTGGCTGCGTGGTGTTCAGGGTTCGCGACCCCGTCTTTGGCTCCGTAGTGTTCAGGGGGCTTCCCTCCAGCTTTGGCTCCGTAGTGTTTAGGGGGCTCACCCCCGTCTCTGGCTCCGTAGTGTTCAGGGGGCAGGCCCCCAGCTTTGGCTCCGTAGCGTTCAGGGGGCTGGCCCCCGGCTTCGGCTCCGTAGTGTTCAGGGGGCTGGCCCCCGGCTTTGGCTCCGTAGTGTTCAGGGGGCTCGCACCCGTCTTTGGCTCCGTAGGGTTCAGGGGGATTACCCCTGGCTTTGGCTCCGTAGTGTCCAGGGGGCTGGCCCCCGGCTGTGGCTCCGCAGTGTTCAGGGGGCTGGCCCCCGGCTTATGGTCCATAGTGTTCAGGTGGCTGGTCCCCGGCTTTGGCGTCGGAGTGTTCAGGGGGCTGGGCTCCGGCTTTGGCTCCATAGTGTTCAGGGGGCTGGCTCCCGGCTTTGGCTCCGCAGTGTTCAGGGGGCTGGCCCTCGGCTTTGGCTCCGTAGGGTCCGGGGGCTGGGCTTCGGTTTCGGCTCCTTAGGGTTCAGGGAGGAGGCCCGCGGCCTCGTCTAAAGCCGGAGGCCGGTCCCCTGACCACTACGGAGCCAAAGCCGGGGGCCAGCCCCCTGATCACTTTGGAGCCGAAGCCGGGGGCCAGCCCCCTGAACACTACGGAGCTTAACCGGGGGCCAGCCCCCTGAATACTATAGAGCCAAAGCCGGAGGCCAGCCCCCTGACCCCTGGGGAGCCAAAGCCGGGGGCCGCTCCCCTGATTCCTAAGTTGCCTATGACGGGGGACAGCCCCCTGAACCCTAAGGAGTCAGAGCCGGGGCCCCCTGAACCCTAAAGAGCTAAAGCCGGGGGCCGCCCCCGTGAACCTTAAGGAGCCAAAGCCGGGGGCCGCTCCCTGACCCTAAGGAGCCAAAGCCGGGGGCCAGTCCCCTGATCATTTGGAGCCGAAGCCGGGGGCCAGCCCCCTGAACACTACGGAGCTAAACCGGGGGCCAGCCCCCTGAACACTACAGAGCCAAAGCCGGGGGCCAGCCCCCTGACCCCTGGGGAGCCAAAGCATGGGGCCGCTCCCCTGATTCCTAAGTTGCCTATGACGGGGGACAGCCCCCTGAACCCTAAGGAGTCAGAGCCGGGGCCCCCTGAACCCTAAAGAGCCAAAGCCGGGGGCCGCCCCCCTGAACCCTAAGGAGCCAAAGCCGGGGGCCGCTCCCTGACCCTAAGGAGCCAAAGCCGGGGGCCAGCCCCTTGAATTCTAAGGAGCTAGAGCTAGGGGCTGGGCACACTCCTGCAAAATCCGCAAATTTCCCTTATGCTTAAAACCGCTTAAGAGCCGGTGCAACCAGCCACACAGTTCAGCTTACAGTTGACTTTCCCCTAATCTGATCGCTGACTGTATAGAAAAACTGCCCAACCAACTTTGATCAACTTTCGAGCGTGGCGCCACACATCAGCGCATGAAAAAATCTGGGCCCAGCGCCTTAGTGCCGAGCGCCACAACTCTCGATAGCCTATCGCCTAGATTACGGGCGCGCATCGGGTAGCGAGGCCCGCGTCGCACATTAGCGCATGAAAAAATCCGGGCCCAGTGCCACAGGGCTTAATCCACCGAAGGTTAGGTTAGGTTAGGTTAGGTTAGGTTAGGCCAGGTTAGGTTAGGTTGGGTTGGGTCAGGTCCGATGCGACGTGACGTGGGCCTCGCTACCCGATGCGCGCCCGTAATCCAGGCGATATGCAATCGTGAGTTGTGGCGCTCGGCCCTGTGGCGCGGGGCCCGGATTTTCTCTTGCGCTGGTGTGTGGCGGCACGCTCGAAAGTTTATCAAAGTTGGTTGGGCAGTTTTTTACAAAAGTCAAAGATGAGCGGAAAGTCAACTGTAAGCTGAACTTTGTAGCAGATTGCACCAGCACTTAAGCGGTTTTAATCAAAAGTGAAATTTGAGGATTTTGCAGGAGTGTGGCGCCACACTCCGTGGCGTTGAGCCCTAATTTTAGCCGAGGATATAATTGGCGCCAGGATCTTTGGCTCATTGCACCGTAGTCGGGGAGCCCTGCGCTACAGTGAGAGACCACTTTTCTTATCCTGGCGTTTGAGTCTCCAACAATATTCATCGATGTTCAGTGACGGATGTGTAACCATTTGTGAATCCCTCACATGAAACTGTCATTTTCCAGATGAAGAAATGTATCTCTCCATATTTAAAGGTTTTAAATTTCACCACATTAATTCATTTTCTCAAGCTTAAAAAAAGACGACATTGCCATTTCCATCCAAAATTTTGCTGGTTTCCGAGCGTGGCCCCAGGATCTTTGGCTCATTGCACCGTAGTCGGCTCCCCTACATTGCCACCTCATTTTTGAAGGCTTTTTTTGAGTTTTCATTTAGAGAACACCAGTGGCATGATAAATTGCCCTCTGCGGTTTGATCACGTTTAAAACATTTATTTCCTATCATTCGCGCAGCAAATTGGCGGTGTAAGTCGTCAATCACGTAACTCGGTTTGCGACGTCGCAGACTTCCTGTCATACTTTATGTGTTAAAAGGAAATCTACTCGACGGCAACTCTTTAAAACCGGCATGATTTTTTTCGCTGTGGAAAGTAAATTCTGCATAAACTTCAAGGAATGATGCCAATTTTGTTCTCATTTGAAAAAATTACATAGAGGCGGAGATTTTCAGACACCGCAAACGAGATATGTGACTGCGGACTCACGCCGTCGAAATATTAAAGTGCTCAAGCTCATAGCAGTGGCCCGCGTTCAAGATGATTCGCCTTCAAAACTCGAGCAGGCAATTTAGGTGGCCTCGGAGCAGTTATAGTTGCTTGCTGTAGTTTGACCACGGTCAAAACGCTTATCAGCGCAACCATTTATTCTAATTCAGCTTAAAAATAAAGGGCTATACCATTACTTTATTCAAATTAAGATCGATTGGGGGTAAAGACTTTAGATGATGTAAAAATAAAGACTGTATTCAAATTGTTTTGAGAACACGCTTTAATGGACATACCTAAATGCATACTGATTGGTTTTCTGTCTTCCACAGTGCTTGGTATAAAGAATATTTTGAGAACAGGTACAGACAGGTAGATTTTTTGATAACAAGGAGTCAAGATTGGTTAAATACCTGGTGATAATTATGTACATGTGACCGAGATAAATTATATTGTACATTTAAAAAATGGAAAGGAAAACTGTTGAAAAAACATAGGATTTAAACGATTGGTTGAAGTTCCGCTTGAGTTTGAGATTCTTCATCGTCATCTTCTTCGCTTTCTTCGGCTGTTTTGAGCTGTTCAAAACCATGCTGGGAATGTGAGCGTTGACCGAGGATTCCTAGAGAGAAGCCGTCTCTGCCACGACCTCTGGGGCGCCATCTGTGAGAGCAATGCTCCCCGCAAACTAGAAAATGAGGTAATAATTAATTTGAACTAATGAAAAAAAGAGGGGAACAACTATCATCGGTGGAAGAGGGAACCTAAAACTGCAAAAACTTAAAATAGGTAACTGAAACAGATATTGATGCCACTGCTCAGAGAAGTGCGTTGAACAAAACTTTGGGCACAAAAAACGCTAAAAAATGTCGAATCAAATTGTAATTATAATGGTTTGAAGTTTAAACTTCAATTGAGTCAGTGCGCTTTTAAAAATGGTCGGAAGTCCAATTTTTCTAACTCCTTTTTTTCTTCTTTTTAAACGCATTTTTGATGCTCTATTTACACGACATTCGTTCCTGTGCATGTGTCTGTTGTGGTCCAAGAAGCAGACTACCCCTGCTGTCTCGGATGATATGGACATCCAGAATATTAAAAAATTTAGAAGAAAAAACTTTATTTAAAAATGAACTTTAGCCCCTTTTAAAAGTATTGATTCAAATGCCATGGAGAAAACTGATTCCATGAGAAAACTACTTGTATAGGTACACTTAAACAAAGCCGCGTAAAAGAGAGAAAAACAAAAATAAAAAGGAAGAAAAGGAAGTGTCAAAAATTGAATGAGAATATTCAAAATAAAAGGATGAGACACTTACAAAATCATGACAATATTCAATCTTGCATACCAAATGATCATTTTAGATTGGTCCTTAAGAACTTTCAACTTTAAAAGAAATAAACATATTCTTGACTTACCAGTTACCAATCACAAGCACGGAAGTTGGGGAAAACTATGTTTTGAGAAATAATAAAAACATTCTGAAAATAAACTGAAAATTCGATAACATAAAATAAAATAAAATTAAAACATACACTGTCTCAGTTGGGAGGGAGGGGGGTACCTATGAGAAAATATAAAATTCACGAAGGAGAAAATTGTAATGTTGTACTCGATGATAAAGTCTTCGCTTTGAACTGTCATAATGAATTCAGTAAATTCGAGTACAATGAAAGAGCATTTTCATAGACTTTAAATTTATTCAAACTGAATGTCTAGGTTCCTCTGTCAGACGTAGAGGTAGGAATACCTAAACTCATTTTGATCGGAAAAAATTACATTATTTTCAGGCTATTTTTACTCGCCTTAGATACCATTGTAAAGAAACGTTGTATTCCCTTAAATTCCTAAATTTAGTTCAACGCAACTTGACACAGGCGTTTGTTAATTACGATAGATTATTGATTCCGAGAAGTTTCATTTTCACAAGATACTCGAGTGCCTATATTTTGTTGTAACTTTATTGTAAAAAATAAGATAAGAGTCTGAAGTCATTATGACTGAGGTTGAAATCAAAGCTATGTGGATTCGTTCAAATATAGATGGTTATACAAGGGTTTTTGTAGCTGATTGATTGGTATTTCCGATCATGAAATTATATGACACTTCACACCAAATTTTCCTCTGAGGAAGCAGAATCACACTAAATTGGTCACTATTTTATCTTGAAGGAAGAATTTTAAGGAAGTCTCCCTTCAACTGGTAAAATTTAGAATACCTGGTATAATTCTTTGAAACCTCGCAGCTCAAATAAATTTCTCTTGGTTCATGATGTCTGCTCAACTCTCACCTATGAGCTTTGGTGAATTCCTACGCCTCAGTAAATAAAATCATAACAGAAGAAAGGAAGAAAATGGAAGAAAAAAGTAAAACAAAAATGATGATAGTACGTGCTCCTCATGTATTTGGAAGAAATGACAAACGGTAAGATAGAGAACGACAGATGCAAACAAAAAATGCTACAGTTACATCACTAGGAACAAGATGAAAATTGATAGTATCACATTAAAAAATCACGGATTACAAAATAAATTAGTTACTTAATGGACTCACAATGCAACGAGAGCTCTTAGGAAAATTGGCTAGATTTTAGTCCTAGATACCTGACTTATCGTTTCATATCTAAAATTAGAAGCCCTATTATTCATGTTCAATGCTTTAAGACTGGAATAATACGAAAAAAAAGTCAAGTTGAAAAATGTTGCGACTCGGAAATGATTGGTGAGGCATAAAAATATTGATCAAACTTTTAAAAATTTTTTTTGTCTCGATTATCGTTACAAAGCAGAAATAAATATGTGTCCATAAAACATATTTTGTCTGAAAATTCGACAAAATGTTTTAGAGAAAATTAGAAAATAGATTTTTAAAATCTCTATGTTCTCTCTGGACCAGCTCTTTTGGAAATCAAGTTTTAAAAACTCTTCACCACAGAATCATTCTATCGGAAACGTTTCAAACAAATTTAGGTCACAGAAGATTAGGAATTCACTAGTAATTAAATTCGTATTCGGAATATTTTTGTGCATCATTCTTACTTATAAGATGGATGATTAATTAAAAATTCTAGATATTTTAATGAAATATCTGAATGCAAGGGGACGGAAGTTTTGAGATCATATAAAAATAGAAAAAAACTTAAGAGTGAACATCATTGATACTGACTTGTCTTCAGAAGTCAAGAAATTATACATTATTTAAGAAATGAATCTAGTAATGTGAATTTTTTTCCACTGATTAGTACAGCTTACATCTTTACATTTTACAGACATTTCAGAAAACTTCTGTTATTACCAATAGGTTTTTACCTGCCTCATCGTTTTAAGATTATGTGGTTCAACAGATGTACCACAATATGCCCCTGTATCATTTATGAGTTTTAATGGTGAAGTTTGTAAAAATAGAGTTCTTGAAAATTGCCATTGTTGGATTTTAACGTACAGTAAAATATCTTAGTAGAAAAACAACGAAACAAATGACGATAGAGAGGATTATGCCTAGTGCTATAAATAAATAAATGAATGAATGAATTTTTTTTTTTTAAAAGGCAAGAGCTTTGCAAAGAGAGAAGAAGAATCTAAAGGACCCTCCCTTCCCGTTTGTTGCTAAGTTGCCCAACCTTCAGCAAGTGTTCTGTGCCGTAGGAGGGCAACTTCTCAACAACGATAAACCAAGGTTATTTTGAAATTTTAAAGCCATTGGGCTCATCTCTCTAGAGATTTTTTCCTATTAATAGCCAAAGGATTGTAGAAAACGGCCCTAGTTGATCTTCGAGAATGCCTTGGCTAAGAAATTATTTGACCAACTAGAGCGCTTACTGCGATGTATAATTTCATGGAGTTATATACTGAAAGATGACATTCATCAGGAGTACACATTGTGAAGGATAGGAAATGCTGGGGTAAGTACACAATTAGGAACAAAAATTATAAAAAATGCAAACTTAAGTTCCGATGTAAAAATGATATGAATTGTGATGAGTGATAAGATACAGTGAATAAAAAACTGATGTTTCAATACTGATAGTTTTGGGAACCATGGGCTCTTTTGGTGACTAATTAAGAACGAAACCAAAAAAAAAGTCCTCATTGACCACCAGACTTGGTAAGAAATTAATCAACATTTGATATACCTTTTTATTAAAATTTTGCATAAAATACAGGGTGATCCTAAAGTGCCTCACACCCCTATAGTACTTAGGGTTCTTGTCCTTCAGGTTCAGAAAGATCTCTCTAAGACTTTGGGGGGTTCAAAAAGCCGTTTCTTTGGACCACGGAGCACTTACAAAATTGCAAGTCTTCGTCTCAATCTTTCAAAAGTTATAGTGAAGATGCCTAGTGCTAGCAGTGATGGACTTTCGCATCACCATGTATAGCAGATACGTTAAACATGCCCAAATTTAACTCATAAAAATTTCCATGCAAAGGTAAGTGACATAAATCAAGATATAATAGAAATGACGTCTTGGAAGTAAATGTTAAATCCAGGGAGATAAAAAAAATAGAGCGAATCCCTGCTAAAAAATTACCAGAGAACAGTGCTGAGATGCCAATTAAAAAAATTAGAAAATTTGACTGTTTAAGAAGCATCCTGTCACTAATTTCGGTCATTTTCATCAGGGATGATAAGTGAACAATATACAATACTGACAAAGCTTCAGACCTCCTGCGTTTCAGTGTTATTCACTACTTACAAACTAGTACTGTAGAGGGTTATTGAGGATATACTTAAACGGTAAAACTATCACTTTAGAAAGTGTTTCCCTTGAGGAATTGAAAATTGGAATGATTAGAAATGATAGAAAGGGTCAATATTAGGGAGATATAGTGTCATTCTTTTCAATTTTAAAAATTACGATACATTTTATTAAGGAATGTAAGATCTGAGGTTCTTGAAAAAGAGAGTTTTGAAAGCCTTGAACGAGCATGCTGTATAACAGTTTGAAAATTGCATTCGACTTTTTCACAGATACACAAAATAATACTTACGGTAAAAGGAAAGAACAACAGCAACAAAATAATAAACATTTCATAAATTTGAACAATACAATAACCAGCAGAGAGTAAAACAGAATCTACGTTTCCAAAAAATTAAAAATTTTAAATAATTAAAAAAGATCAGGCAAGTAAAATCATGCTAGTTCTTAAATAACTAAGAGTTACACGATTACGGCAAATGCTTAAAAGAATTTCCTGTGGGAGCAGAAAAGTGGCTGTTCTAGTAATACAGCAACAAAGAGCCAACTTTTTGAGATTCTTGGAGAGTTCTTTTTAAATCATTTAAAGACACCGTCTCCACCAATCTCAGAGGTTGGTGTAAAAATAATAAGCTTCCTCACTTTTTTGCTGAGAGCTTAGTAAGGTATTTCTTTATTCCTCTTGATTTTGGTTAAATAAATGGTTAAACATCAGTGCTTCCATACCGATATTTCAGGGATAAGTTTTGATTTTTGGGAATAATTCTAATAAAAATTATGTATTTAATGAGTCCTTGGTACACTTTCAAAATATTTTAAAACTGATCTTACCATGCAAAATATTTTCTGAAGATATTTTGATGAGAAAGTATTGATTTGCTACACACATTTCAACTTGCAAATGATAAGTTGCTAATTCCCTGATTGATCCCACTTACATGGACCGAGGCACAAATGAGAAAAAGGAATAAAGTATACAAAAAACCTGAGGAGATAAAACTGTAAACTTTTTGATGCCACAAATTGGATTTATGTAGGATGAGACATTTTTTTAAATTTTCCTGGATACCTATTGAATGCATGACGTGAACACTGTCAGTGTCTCTTTCAATTAAAAAAAATTGTTTCACTTATGTCTCTTTTCCTCACAGCTTATTTTCTCTTACTTAAGTAGAATAGACAAAACTTGAAAAATCAGATCATTAAAATAAAAATGAGGAAATAACAGCATTCTTAAAAAAGCTTTGTTGCTTTGATATTAGAGCAGTAAATTAAGATACCCCTGTGGACATTCACTTATAGGGGGGCAAGGACATATTTCGTACTGCTTTCAGAAATTCGGAAGTGCTATTTTATGGTAGTAATATTTAAACAGGTGGGTCAAGATTGAAATTCATAGTCAATTGACACTTACTAGAGAGAGTATCTCCCAAAAAGATAGATTCAACGGTAAGCGATATAATTTGGATTGACAAAACCTTCATTCAAGTGGCAAAACTGACCCACATCTACAATTTCATCTCTTTGAAGAGTCTCGAGTGAACAAGGAGCCTTTACTAACCTTTCCACTGATCCTGTATTCAAGTGCTAACTGGCTACTACCTGAACGCAAATGACTTTTACACACAAGCATTGGAAAAAGTTACATATAAATATTGGACTATGTTGCTTTTAAAAAAAATGAAAAGAACTTTGGAGAAAAAAAGAATACTTAAAGCAGTGAGTAGTACAAACATTTAAAATTCAGAGACCACTTAAATTAAAAAGAGACATGAGTCACACATTAAAAGCCACAAAAAGTGCATCAAATGGACCAATCAGATAAAAAAGATGTCTATTTATCTAGGATTTCAATTTGGTACAAATAGACCTCTTTTGCATGAACTCATCTGACTGGGCTAAAATTTTTGTACGGTAAAATTAATGGAATGGCAAGGTCCAATAAAGGTCAGAACTTTTGAATTATTTCCATTAAAATTTGGGAAGTACAGGGTTGTCTGTAAGCTATCGCTATTGGTATGGTTTGTTCTGAAGTACCATTTTTTCCTAAGGCCGCTCTGGTGGGAGACGGTCAGCCTTATCTAGGTCTATTTAGTACTACATGAGCTCTGAGACAAAGCAATGTTGGCCTATATGTCTTCATGTAGAGATGCTAGGCCCGTAAAATTGATAAACATAGCAACTGCTCCCTTTTGCCAGTTCTGAAAATTCTTATTCGTCAGAGACTTCTTATCATTACTACTTTTAAACAGAACTGTTTTGATGGCTTGCTGAAAACCGATTGGACACTCTTACGAAAGTACACCTATACTTCACATTCAATGCTTCTACATAAATCTTTTGAGACCCAAAAACTACTACAAGGCACATTTGCAACACAGGTCTATCTTTAATAGAAAACTAATGTAGCTTGACTACTTTTACACGAAAAAGTCCATTACCTCGTAGAATAATTTATCCTCATCCTATTTTCATTTTCAAGTCAAAGCGTATTTTGAATAAAAAATGAAAAATTGAGACAGAGATTACTGTAGAAGGTTTAGAGATCATTCAACTACTTAAACTTCTAAGGTCTGGACGGAAAGATCTGAATTAAGCGGGAGAGGTGTCTTTCAGATGAGTTCTTGGTGTAAAACTATGTTCAAAGCACAATGAAAAAACTGAATGGTGCTAAAGAATTTTTGTTTAAAATTATTTTCGCCATTTGAGTCCTTAACTCGATCAGCCCTTCAGATGCCTGCCTATAGAGTGAGACATAGCAACCAGTGTCATCCACTTCCATGAACAAAGTGACTTTTCATAAATAAAACAGAACAATGAGAAAACTAAAAAAATTACATCGAATATCACAATCAGTCAACAAGATTCAAATGCTCCATGGATAAGTGCTCATACAGAGTCTCTGACCTACCTCTGTTACGAGATCGGGTATAGATCATCATGGCGGCAAGGAGAGTTGCACCGAACAAAAGAGCAGCGGATACGACTAGAACAGCCATTAGTGTACCATCGCTTGGCTTGTTCAGTAACGATAGGTCTTGTTTTAACATGCCTGTTAGGAAAGAAAATAACCAAGCAAAACACATTTAGTACGAAATTATTGTGCAGTTGGAGGATAGCAAAATAATTTCATGGTAGACAGAGAACAAATTCTGAAAAATTGAAAAGATTCGGTTCATGACTCATGGATATTGCGGTAAGTTGGACTTCAGCTTAAAACAGTTTTTGTTTTGAAAGGTTCAGAACTATGAATGTTGAAACTTGTGGAGCTTCACAAAATAGGAGACCCTTTTTGGGATTTTTCAGATGAAAACTGTTTGAAATTTACATGTTGGGGAAAAAAATACGAGAAAAAACTAGCATCAAAACATTGCTACATTCTTTGTTTGTATCGCTGTGGAACCCGAAGTTAACTCCAAAATATGAAATACAAAACTATAAATGTAAAAAAATCAGTTTTAAAATCAAAATGAATTGAAATGACACATATAAAAGAACAGAGTAGTTTTTCAACAACAAAAAAAACCTAGGAGAGTTACCTTATTTGTATTTTTCAATCTTCTTCGAAATTTGAAAGATTTTTTATTTTTTTTGGTAAATGCTACTGGGATGGCTGTTACACCCTAACATAATTGAAGTTGCATATTTTATTCTGACTTCAAACCAATGGTCCAATGATGATGAATCGCCGTGTTTCAAGTTCTGGATATGTAATTTCGGATCCAAATTTGAGGTGGTTCTAAAAAATGTCTGTGATATTTATGATCATAAAATTTTATCAGACCGACTGGCAAATGATTGATAAGACAGAATTAAACAGGACCTTCGACGGACCTCTGAGACTTCAAATAGGATTTGAACAACTGAAGTGACAGCACGCAGATATAAAAGGGTTTCCTATTTAACAGTAGTAAAATTCTTGACTTGTTGGTAGCAATAAGAAGTTATGGTATTGCTGAAAATTTTTGATTTTTCATGTTTCTTTGTTAAGAGAAAACAAAGGCATGATTAAAGAGATCAGTTGGCAGATCATTATTAAATTTCAGATCCACAAATATTATGAAAAGGCTACAAGAGAATTGAGAAGAAATTGAAGACATTGTTCCTTTGAGATTGAGGGTCGGGCGTAAAGTGGACCCAAAAATTGTGTAGGGATAGGTACTATAATGAACTTACCAGAGACAAAAGAGGATTTGATTGTTGAGCTTGTTTGAGGACTAGAAGCAGTCGTTTTGATGACATCGGGAGTTCCATTAGTGGCTAAAAGAAAAGAAAAAGAGACCATTTCTTATATGTCAGATTTATAATCCGCCGTTCTAAGGAAGAACACCGTATGAACACTCAATAGTTGTCAAATTTCCTCCGCTAAACCTTAAATTTTGGATTAAATATAGGTACCTAGTTTTCAAGGAAATTTTCAGATATTTAAGATCAAATTGCGAGCAAACTTCTCTGAAAAACTCTGAGAAAAATACTAATAAGTTTCCCAGCAAATTCAGGTTTTGTTAAAAGAAATTAGGCAACATCTGGAGGCTCACCTGAAATTTTCCTTAGCTCTGCGGAATACCTTTGCAAATTTTAGTAATGATTAGAATAATTTCTTGGATGAATAATGACACTATAATGATTGCGACTTTTTAGGGGGTCCTCAGGCGGTGTTACAAAATATCTGCAGCCCAATTATTGAAACTATGTCACTATGACTAGACTAGACATCCCATTTCGATGTCTTATCGGGCTGCTTTAAACTTTCCATGATCAGCGGGTGAGCACCAAGAATTATACGAGAGGTAATTAGGGGACTTATCTGTGATTATAATGTCCTTCTACAGAAATAATTTGATTGCTGATTTCTGCTTGTGGTTCACTTTGTAAACACATACTTGAATACAAATTTAACTTTGTAATGTGGCAAATTTCCGAGAAAATGTTCCTGGAAAACATTTGGTACAAAAGGGTAGAAAATATCTGGGGTTACTTTCTTTACTTCTACAAAGCTTAGGTGGATACTCACTTGTGACAAACTGCCAAATACGATATGGTGATAGCTCCGCAACATAGACCCTGGATGCGTCTGGTGTGACTGCCACTGCATGAGGATTGTGGAAGTCACCTTGATATGGATGAAAGTCAGCAATGATTTGGCAGTTGATGGCGGTTGCTACATACCCTCGCACGAGTACTTGCTGCGAGAACATAGGCATTATCTCACTATATTCTCGCAGAGGGACATCATACTGAATCTCGGGACCGTTCACAATGTATATTAACCCTCCTAGACCATAATTCAAAGAACAAAAATTAGTCAAACTTATGATGCAATTGCAAAAAAACCGAAAGTGTTTTCAAATGACTTATTTTTTCGTTCTTCTGGCACCTGATGCAGAGACCAAGGGTGGCGATTGTTCAAAAAGAGTCAACTTCAATTTGCTGTTGATACATTGAGATTTGGTAAACTACCAAAAAATGTTGCAAGCTGAGAAAAGCGCTTTTCTAGTTGCATCGTTTATACGCTTCAAAGTCAGAGGGCAGATTTCGGTAAAATTGGAATGGAACACAGGGACTTTACGGCCCAATCAGAAAGAAATAATCTTTTATTGAAGTAGTGGAGATTCATTCATTGTCTAGTGCAATTTATTGACCTGAAAGCTTGCAGGTTGTATTGTAAGTCAATGACGTTGGTAACTCACCAAACGCAGGGGTGTAAGCTACACTGAATATTCTGGAGCCCATGAGAGCAGAACTGAATTGGAATGCAAAAGTTCCATTTGATGCATGGAATACTTGAATCCTTCCGTTCTCTCGATCGGCAACGTATAGGAGGTTCTTGTCTTCTGCTAAAGCTAAACTGTGAGGAATGTTGAAGTGGTATGGGGCGGGGGAACCTAGAATTGAGCCATAAGAAAACAATACTTTAGAATGGGTTGTAATAAGATAAGTTGACGAAATATATGAGTGGGAGTAAAACATATGCAAATACATGCAAACAGAAAATAAGGTTTTAATCACGAAATTATGGGATCTGCAAAAAGAAATCTTCACCAAAAGTTTGAAGAATACGTGTTGCACTGTTTGCAGGTATGAGACCTTGACCTTCACTCTGAGTAAAGGATTTTAGGAACAGAAAAATAAATTGATCAAGTTGTCAATTGTTAAAGTCTCTTGCCTGAGGCTTTCAAAATAGTAAAATGTTGGAAGAATGGCTAAGGAAGTGTCAACTGGGGAAATAGGTGTATTGTATCTTTCAGTTTCATTTTTGTGAGACAATTCTGAACTGAATTGAATGTAGGAAATAGATTTATTTCCTCGACGATTTATTTTTATTTTCTTATTTACCTAGTCTGTCGCTTGACAGACAGACTGAATTTTGGAAAAAAGATAAATTAAAAAAAAGATAAAAAAAAATAAGAGTAGTTGCTGGAAAAGGAACTTAAATTTAATAAATAATACTAGTCATTATCATATTGATGTCTTTCTTACACATTTTACCAGAAAGCCAGGGAATTTGAAAATGTTTGAGTCAGACAAAAGCAAAACAAGTCAGGGATCAGAAAATTAAGAAATAATATGAACCCTGGAGCAGAAAGTGAATAAATTTTTCAGCAGTTTGTTTGCATCTTACCCTTGAATGAAATTAAAAACTTCTTTACCTTAAAGCTTAAGCCTATTGATTTCTGGCAGACAAATACGTACCATTAGAGATAGTTGCTCGCCCCCATCTGCTGATGACCGTTCCATCGGCAGAGAATTTTAAAATTCGAGAATTACAATAGCCGTCAGCTACAAAGAAGTCTCCATTGCTCATGACAGCTACTGATGTAGGTTTGCAGAAATGTTCTCTGTCATTTCCTGGTTCAAATCTTACCCCTAGTGTCATGAGTAATGTTGGCTTGAAGTCTTTACTAAGCATGGGAGAATATTTGAAAACTTGATGTAAAGCAACGTCGGTGAACCAAACATTGTCCTGCTTGTCGACTGTGATTCCATGCGGAAGGAAGAATCTGAAAAATAGGTGCAATGAAGTCAATTTTCGATCTGAGAGTACTTAAAAATACTTAAAAAATTAGAAAATAAGGTAAACACCCTTCTGTTTTCCTCTTCTTTTTTATGATAGACAAATTATTTTTACAAAGAACATGCTTTTTCTTAAACTTGCACATCCGAGTGAAAGTTCAAAGCTAGCAAAAGTGAACAGCTGTCAATATGCAGATCTCAACTAAGAAATTTTGCGATGATGTTAAATAAAAGATTGAATGGGAAATAAAAGAGAGGAGAAATTGCTTACAGATTATGGCCCCATTCAGTAATGAGAGCACCTGTGTCTGGATTGATGATGGCTAACGTCGGGACTTGAATGACTCCCCTGTCCATCTCATTGTAGGAATTGTTGAGAAAAAATGTATTGGCATTCCAAATTCGGTCGCCACGATGGAAGACATACACAAACCCAGCAGTGTCAGTTGACACCCATGCGACTTGACCCAACTTCACTGATTGACCCGGCCAGTTTGTCACTTCATTTAACCCTGCAAAAAGGTGAAACAGTAAAGTTAAAATTACAAAACTAAGTTCAATTAAAAAAAAACAGGGGTGCAGATAGGCTTTGATTGCAGTTGCGAATTGCCAATTGAGATGACATAATAGACAGGTTCCGATAATTGTGGGTACAAACAGTTTTTTCTCATCTGCGATTATTGTCTCCTCTAGAAAATATAATTTTATTTGTGCGATCTGTGCAAATATTTGTGTGAAAATTGCGAATTTACTAAAAAATGTGACAAAACTTCAATCGTTGTCAGTAAAATTTTAAACTCATAGGTGAGTTTAAAATTTTATTGAGCATTTATCTTGTGCAGGTCTCCAAACAAATCTTCAATCGTTGCGTTGACCTTATGGTGAAAACCAAGCGCATGCTAGAAAATTATGGGAGCGTCTTTGAAAATTGTGTAGGCCCAGAGCCATTTGCACCCTATACGTTTAAAGCCAATCCTGTTTTCATACTCTTTTGATTTTTTGGAGAAAACAATTTATTTATAGATTTTTTGACAACATAGTCAGAAAAAGAAGCAGTTCTGGTGAAAGCTTTTGCTCTAGGCTTTAAAGCGCATAGTAGCAAAAAAATCAGAAAAGAAATAGAGACTGGCTTACTTTCTGTATACAAGTATACCACACAGTTGTGCTGACAAAAAAGCTTCAGTTTATCCTTCTTCTTTTCCTGCTTTTTTTGTGTTCCTCATGTAAGCAAAAATCTTCCCATTGCTCTATCATTTTCCCTACTTTGTGAATAAATGGCTTGATATGGAAATTAAAAGGGCCACAAGTTCTATGGAATCGGGTGAATAGTTTAGTTCCAAACCGTTAATTTCTTATATAAGTAAGTGAATTCTACCTCCTCTAAACATAGCTGGAAAATTTTTAAAAAATTTACTACAAAATCAGGTTGATTCCTACTTTTAGCAAGATTTACAAAAAAGGGGGAAAATAATCGACTAACAACACAGGACATGCAAATATTTCAAGTATTCAAAGAAACTTACGTTGACTGACTTTCCGCTCATTACTACGCGAATCAAATTGCCTTACAAGGAACTGCTCAGTTTCATCGACATCTTGATCGCCAAGGTCTAGATCCTGAAATGAAAAGCCCTTACACATGAATTGTTGGTTTCGAAAATAATAAAGAGAGAATATAAAATAATTGACTGATTGTTGTTTCACTCCACAGGAATGCAACCTGAGAAAAACTAAAGTTCTGTTTTACTAATAATTATCACATGATTGCTATGATGCTTGTGGGTTTTATGATTTGGCCGACTTAAATTAAAAAAATCCAGGCCCTTTCCTTCTTATTAATAATCATGATTAACCACAGTGTTGTTAAAATGAGATCATTGCAACGAACCGAACCAGAGAGATTTAAGTTTTGGACAAGAATAAATAAATTAACTGGATTTAGTTATGGATATACTCATTTACAATACTAATCAATCTCTGACACATAATGTGCTTTAAAGTACATATCTTGCAAATGAACGATCAGTTAAAATAATCTGAATTAGGTATGTCACATCTGTTGAACGTCATAACTATTGTTGATTATATACTAGTATTCTGGAACAAGGCCCAAAATTAAGTATGGCTTACTAACATGAATGATGCTTGCAAATTAGTTTACAGTAATACTTGTTAAGTTATCACTACACTGATTTGCGAAATCTGCTTCCCATAGATAAACAAATATCTGTACACTTCAGAGCAGTTCATGTAGCAGCAACCGGCAGAATACATGACACTCCTAATTTGACCTGAACTGATTGAAAGAGATCAACTGGCTGAACTTATTCTCTGAAAACTAGATGAATCATCAATAGGGTCAAAATCATCCTTAAAATATTTGAGGTATGGAGCGGTGAGGCAGAAAGATCAATACTGAACTTACAGTTTGAAAAGTGTGTCGTAGTTGCAGAATGATTAGAAAACAGGACAATAATAAGGCTTCATGAAATCCCATCTCGTCATTTTCGTGAAAATCACTGCTGAGCCATGTGCTGACTATTAATATGGTAAGTAATCAAATTTCAATTCCATCTGTTATCAGTAGACTGCAGTAGTTGGAGCAAGGCGAATGCATAGTTGAGGTTAACGTCACGAACTTCCTCTCGTAATCATTCAGGTTGTCGCAGGATAATAGCTAAGCAGCCGACGAGTAAAATTTAAAGCTAAGGTAACTTTAAATTTGCTCATAAAACACCTTCATGATTCACTAAACACGACGTGAGCAAGTGATAAGACCCGGGGCGGAACGAAATGCAAATTGTAAACATGTGGCGGCCATTATTGGAATACAGGTCAAAGTGATTCAAGCGCTCTCTGTATGTATATGGACGAACCCGTTATCAACAGGTTACGCTAGGAAAAGATGCGCAAAGTTTGAATACATCTAAACCAGCACCCAAGTCATAATGTTGCCTATACAGTCAGTTGAAGGATTTTCTTATTTTTCCAAACCGAAGCGCATTGCTGTACTGTTCTAGTGTTCTTTCATGCAGCTTCAGGACTAGGGGAAACCCAATACGTGAGAGACTCCGAATCTCGAGCATTCGGTAGCTTATTTAACTTACTCAGAAATGTAGCATCACGATGACTTTGGGTAAATTGGTGGTAAAAATTAAAGATACGCACTGAGGCGTTTTTGACATTCTCGATCATTTTTATTTTTTTTAAGAAAAAGTACATTGTTTTTATTTCCTGGTGGCACTTTTAGTGAAAGAATGTCAAAATAAACTGATGAACATATTATTATGTGAGAACAAAATAAGTGAATGTCTGAACGAATAATTGGAAGTATTTACGCGAAATGGGGGTATGTGCAAGTAGAAAGATGGGGTGTGCTCGTGGTGAGCTAGATAAGGAACAATGTGGTCAGTGTATATAGTTCCCAGTGTTCCCGGGTGCTCCGTGTGCGAGATCCGTACGCTCTACCGCTCTCCGTGCTGCTATTGGCTGAGCGTCATTATGTGACGTCACGCGTACGGATATTTTAAGATAGGGAAGCGTTTTTCACATAAGGTTTTTGTCCGTACGCGGTCCGTGTCGGTATAGGGAATGTCCGCGCGGCACGGATAAATCCGTGCGCCTGGCATCACTGATAGTTCCTTTTGAGAAAATGGAAAAGCGGAATTTGACATGAAATCAAAAGGAACTGAGCGCTAACTAGTGAGCCGTGGGCATGTGACAAGAGCCTTGTGGACAGGGCTCATGAGTTAAAGACTCACGACCTAGTCGTTGTCGCTTCCGTCGCCCGGCATCAACGCTGACGTCACTGGCGCTTTTAAATTAATCCCTATTCATTCTTATGGCCCGAGCACTAACGAGCACACCCCATCTTTCCACTTGCACATAGTTCCATTCAGCATAAATACGTCCAATTGCATCGCAGTTTTCGACGGAAAACGTTCCGGTAGGTATCTTCGACCATTATTGTAGAGAGGTAATGCACTGGAAAAACAAACACGTTGGATCTAGAGTCCAGACTCTTGAAACATTGACAAGAAAAAATACTCTTGATTCAAAAGAATTTTTGCTTGAATCAAAACGAAATCCGCTTAAATTAAGAGGCTTAGTTCTTGATTTAAGCTAGATTCTGATTGAATCAAGAGTACTTTTTCTTGTCGATGTTTTTAAGAGTCTGGACTCTAGATCCAATGTGTTTTTTTCTCTAGTGTGGACAGTGTGGGTGGCTGCATGCATCGATGGTGAAAGTACCAAATTAGGTATCTTAATTTGCGATCTCCCACCATTTCATGTCAAATTTGACTTTTTAAAGCCGGTCTGATCATCATTTTGGCAAAAAAGTGCATTTGATTTTTTTCGTTTTTTCAACAACATCCTCTGAAAATTTCGGGGGAAGCAGTATTCTCTTGAGAATAAAATATGGGCGGAAATTTTTAAACATCGCAATCAAAATTCGAGTTACGTTAGTTTCAATATTGATTTTGGGGGGATCATCCGCCTTGGTCCGCACCTTGTCCTATAGGAATAGTCATCAGCGGCGCAGCGTGCTTTACGATACATCGATTGATCCGCCATTTAAACCCATGGAAAAGTATCGATGAACAGGGCGTTCGCAGCGAACACCTTAATAATCGATTATTTACCACAGCTTCAGATGGGGAAACATCGATAGATCAAAAAGCACGCCACGCCACTGGGAATAGTATGACAAAAGTGAAAAAAAACCCACATCACTTGTTGAAGATTTCTTGTCTTACCTTATACTGTTTTTACTGATGTAAACAACTGTATTCATGTTGCTTTCGTAGCCCTTGAAGCACCACTACAAATAAGGCAAATCGACGGAGTAAGTCCGCAATCACATATCTCGTTTGCTGTGTCTGAAAATCTCCGCCTCTATGTTATTTTTTTAAATGAGAACAAATTGTCATCATTCCTTGAAGTTTATGCACAGAGTTTTCTTCGCACAGAGAAGAAAAGTCACGGCAGTTTTAAAGAATTGCCGTTGAGTAGTTTTCCATTCAAAAAATAAAGTATGACAGGAAGTCTGCGACGTTGCGCAAACCGAGTCATGTGATTGCCGACCTACACCGTCGAAATGGAACCAACACAGTATAGAAATAGAGCGAGGGAAAGGACGGCGCAGAGATACGACTATTCGTGCTTGATGGATGACCGTGTTGCATCTACAAAATTGAAGGCGCGATGGCGCGAGGCGTGAACTCGCAATGCTCTGCTCTTTATGCTGTCAATTATTAAGCGTCGCCTATAGATTCGAAAGTAGGTAAAGTTTGAAAACGAGACCCGAATACGTCTCACCTATTTTCAGTTGTGTCGGCACTCGATTTTGTTTCTTTTTTTCAATTTGATGTCTGATTCTTTTTTAATGGGTGTATTTGTAGACTTATATCTAAAGCTCATATGCACTGGCCCTTTAATACCACGAGGCTGCTTTAGGGAGCCTAGAGTCAATTTGACTCGGATTGAACATCTAGGGGTTGAACTATTCAATTCTAACGTTTATGGTGTCAAAAATCGTGCAAATTATGACGAGTATCGTTTTTCTATCATTTATTTGTTTAACGGTAGTGTACTTTTCTAAAAATTGATTGTTGAAATTTTGGTTAGGCGAGCTCTCTCACGCAACGTTGCTCATCTTCTTCGAGGAACTTAAAAACGCTCCTATATGTAGAAAACAGCTGGACGCTCCTCTAATACGAGCGTCTTAGAGCTTTCCCACTTGTTTAGTATTGCCACAGATAGGGTCTTTCTCTCGCATTTTAGCAAGTTAATACGGTTGCACCCCCTGACCGCTTCGCGTTCCAACCCTCCGAAGCGCTTCGTGCCTCAGGCGATAAGCATTATACTCTTATGATTTTATATAATAGAGTATAGAGTATAGAATATAGAGTATGTCGCGAGAGCGATATCGGTCTATGTGAAGATGTGATTTGATCAGTTTTTCTCTTTTTCAAATAATAAAGTATCTCTTATCAGTAAGTATTATTAAGGACCGTGATTAAAATTCGAGTTCCTCTGCTCAGCAGTGAAGGAATAAAAAGATTGATGATGTCATGCACTACGTAAGCAAAATTTGTAGATTTTAATTTGAGCACGTATGGAGTGACAAATTTTGATGTTATTCTTATTCTTGTCTGACATGCACTGCCATCCACGGCAAAGTCGCTGTAGTTTTGCATATTTCTTGCGCACGTACAATTTTATTACGAGAAGGCCCTATCACCATACCTAAATGCGTTATTTTGTCAGTTTAAGTTTTGAAAGGTAAGCTATACAATTCTTTTAGCAGTTTATTGGATGAATGCTTGTTGGTATTTTGTAATAGAATTTTTTCTAAGAGAAAAAATTGAAAAAAATATCTCTCAGTGAAGAGTATTCTGTGAAAATTTTAAGCCATGATGTTGGTTTGGTCTTCTACTAAAAAGTATAGCGAGGACGGAGATTTTGGGACGCCGCAAGCGAGATACGCATTTTTGCATTTTCACTATCGATATAAACTGACCCATAACGTGAAGCAACATTAATATTAAGTAAATTATGCAATACAATTTTGAAGATTCTCTAAGAATCTACTTTGAAAATTGGAAAATCAGATATGCATTGACGCAACGGATTTAAGAGAGAGAAAGGGTTTTGACATTTCTCTGGTCACGGATATTCTTCGTCTGTCTAAAGTAAAAACGTTGTACCTCCGTTCAACAGCATTTCATTTTTTCCTTGCTGTTTTACAACAAAAACCAACAATTATCATTCATCCTTTCATTTTTTCCACTCAACTCTAGCGTATCATTAGATGAAGCCTTGCGGCAATGGGATTTTCTTTCAATAGAGCATTAGAACAGCATGTTTGGGAGAAAATCACGAAGTTTGGCAGGGAGTCACGGCTTTTTTGCTGTGGACGGCGAGCGATATATCGATGACCAGAGTGCGAAACCACGCATCTCCGTTTGTGATGCAGATTTCCTGTCGTACTGTGTTGCTCCCTGTGGCAACTAGTCAACTTAATTTTTAAAAACTTAATTGATTTTTCCTCTTTATTGGCAGAATATTTTGTAAAAATTTCAAGCTGTGAAATTGAGTTGTTCCTCTTCGAAAAAATGGAGCTGAAATTTTGAAACACCGTAACACGGTCTCACGCTGTAGCCACCGACTTGGTTTTCTAATTTTCTGACGCTTCTGTGCCCCCCTCCCCCAGTTCT